GCAGAAGGCAAAGGTCTTATGCATTGACTTTAATGAAGGAGTGATACCGATACTTGATTGAGTGTTGACAGGTGCATATTACGAATAATAGATGACTCAGGGATGTTGCTTAGCTAATTTGAACTTGAGAGATGGTTCAGAAACGCAAAAGTGAAAATAAAAATTATTCGTAACTTCAGCAAAAGAATCCTAACATCGGATCTTAACTAAGGAAAGTAGATATATTAAGACAATGACCAAAACCGCAGCATATAGCTTATAAAACACGCGACTTTTAAAGTTCAAATGATACTTTACAAGAACAGCATTTATGAACAGAGTTAAGTCCGATCTTGTAATGAAAAACCATCTTACCATTTATCATCTTCGTGGAATGTGATTAAGGCTACATAAATTGATTCCATCTGCACCATTACCAGAAATCAAGATTTGACATTTTTGTGAGTGGGAAACAACTGCGAAGTGCCACCACTTCAAACGAAAAACGAATAATTTACATCATTGTATTTAAGTGTTATATGTAGTGAAACGGACTTAGTTTTTAAGCCTAAGTTATTCCGCATCGCCTTTACTTTATAGTTCAGTGTTACTCTATTGCGAAAAACCGTATAACAAAATATGAGGTACACAATAATAGTTTACCATCGTTATCTCAAAAGATGTCTGATCAACACCAAAAGTCACGCTCATAAACTAACCTTGATTGAAATGTGTTTATCTCATATTTTTTACAGCTGTGTGCTAAATTGAGTTATTAGAGTAACCATGATACTACACTATAGGTACAAGAAGTAGTTAAGTAGCTCGATAACATGATCGTAAAATCACACTGATACTGGTTTGGCTACACATTTGCGTTAATTTCCGAAACAGTGCTAAATAGATTTGGCACGAGATTTGTCACCTAACTTAAAGTAAGCACGTGGACTGATCGCGAGTAAGTTTCCAAGGTTAAGGGCAATAGCAAGTAACTATTAAGTAATCTGTGGCAAAAGTAGGACCCTAAGCGGAGATTTTGGGATTTTCTCGAGCGCGTCAGAGCGTTAAGCGGGAGAACGGAGCGGCGCGTGTTTGTTTCATATTTGGAAGAGTAACGCTGCGTGAGGCGGGTCTCCCGCGCAGAGCTGTTCTATAAAATGACTCTAAAGGGCTCAGGTATGGTGGGAGAACTTCACAAAGTTCGAGGATGCACCCCTTATGTTATTCTGCCGCGCTCGATTTAATCCCAAAATACCCGCTTGAGCTCCCCTACTAAAATATTTGGAACTGGATATTCTGTCTACTAGACATGTTTGCAAGATAAAGAATTCCTAGAGTGGTTGTCCCACTTTCGCCACCCTACCTTTATCAGAAGCTGAAGCGAAGCGAAGGCTGACTGACCCCCTGCGAGTAAACAGATAGGGAGGTCGCAGTTCATCGATGCAGGAAATTGGCTCTCGTCCACTAGAACGTGATAAACTAAATGCGTTCCAAGTATCGCAGGGGAGTTTCTTGAATGCATCGAGTTCAGTTCAGACTAAAGTTCATTCAATTCACTAAAATTACCTAGTCCACCTATATGTCTTAGGGTTAATAACCGTTAGGTGCTCAGATTATAGAACTTTTCTGCTGTAATCTGGGGTTAGACGTGCCATATTTTACCATTCGGCAGAATCCTAAAAACATTCCATTTAACACCACTATACACGCGTTAGCTAAGCCTTAAATATCAGTTTATCAAGTAAAATACATAATTATTAGACAAGCCGTATCTGGATTTTTGTGGATATTTTATGATGAGTAGGTACTGATAATAAAAGAGCTTTTATGATCTCCAAATGACAATGATTTCATTTGTCTTTAGAGTAAATAAACTCATTTGTAATACCCTTAATTATTGAAATGTTTACTTTAATTTGTTCGCTTAAGTTATCTCCCGTTTGTTTCTTAGAAATCTTAAATAAACAATTTGCACGCGACAAGCGTCTATATGTTTATTTATTTTATTATTGTTACAAACAATGGCCTCCGACGTATTTTCCTGGATAAAGTTCGTTCTTTTGTCAATCATAATATATAAAAATACAAAAACATCGCGGTCCAAATAATATCATCAATATAGCACCACGACTTCTAAATGTTATAAAAGAGTTTGTGCTGGCAATGCAAAGGAGATTTTTAGCCAATTATTGCCTCGTGGTCTCATGGTTATAATAAATTAGCACATGGCTTTGATACCCCACTTCAAATGAGCACTCACATGGCGGCTGACAAGATTTGGACTCGTTCGCTGCGTCACAAGAAGCGGTTCTCAGCGGTGTATGCTCACTTCTCTTCCTACAAGTACAGACAGCAACGCCTACATCTTGTGATAACTCATCCCTGCGTAATTCACTGATAACGACGAGCATAAATACGCCCGGCACCCGCTACAATAATCAGTTTGCCGCGAAACGGCCTAAAGTGACAGTTGAAGTTGTATTTTTTTATACTTCTAACTTCTAAAGTCAGCCGGATCAGTTCGTCTGATCTGAAACCGCGTTTAGGTCGCATTCAGTTTGTGTATTAGCAACAACCAAAGGGTTGTTGCTTAGAAGTTACTAAAAGCTTTGAGAATTACGCTATTAAAGGTGAGCTCCTTTGTTCCATTCATTATTATTTATTTTATACCCTGTAGAATGACGCACTGTGTTTCGTGTGGAGTGATTTTTGTATCAATGTTTTTTTTCATACAAAATTTATTTCATGGCAACTAGGTGTATGCTCACAGCTGTATCAATATTAACTACTTCTTTATTAATTATGTATGAATTAATTTACATTATTTTGTGGGAATTTTATTTATGACATCATAAGTTCCAATATATTCAAGATTTTTTTTATAAAATCTTAATTGAATTCTCTAATGCTGGATTTGAAGTGATAGAAGAACATGGACCGGTTGTTACATTTTTTGTGTATGTTCTTCCCAGCAATATAGATTGATTTTCCTTTTTGCACCTTTGCAGCTTCCCATTGTTACTATTTTTGCATGGTAACTCAATAAACCAAACCACCTTAATTATTTATCGGCTACTCAAAATGCTTGGTATCTTCGATACATGAATTATCGTTCTCGTCCAACCCCCTTAAAATCAGAACCTCAGCTTTGGTCAATAAGATAGAGAGATATTTTTCGTCGCTTTTAAAGCTTATCAAAGCTATGGGAGATAGGGCATAGCAGATTTTTTGGGATGTATCCTCCATCTAATCTTACAGAAGACCACAGTCTAATGATAGAAACTTTTGGTGTTATAGTTTAGTGTTGTTTAGTTGGTGCTGTAGCAGAAGTATTTTATGTCGGTGGGCAAGTTTCCAGGTCTCACCTAGGTGGAGGATGGCGTGAGATCAGACTAGGCAACGAGCAAGTTATACCCTAGTATAGCATCTATCTAGGTGTTGGTGGGTCATACATAATTAATTGTGTATTTCTCTTCTCTTTTCTTCTTTCTCCTCCTCCTACTACTACAGATAACAGGCCAAGTGCCAGTCGGATTCGCGCACGAAGGGTTCCGTCCACTATAAAACATTAGACACGATATTATAATTACAAGAAAAAAACGTCAAAAAAAAACACGTTGTATGGGAGCCCCCTTAATTATTTATTTTATTTTAATTAAATTATTTATTTTTTAAGTTAACATACAACTCAATTTTTTGTGGAAATTTCAACTGTAACTATCACCAGTCATCGACGACCTCCGTGGCCGAGTGGTTTATACGCCTGGTTTTATGTTGTCGCCGACTCGAGAGGTCCCGTGTTCGAATCCCGATGGGGGCAGATGTTTGTGTGATGAATACGAGCATTTGTACTCCAGTCATGGATGTTTATTATGTATTCTATCCGTTACCCTAGTATACCATAACACAAGCGTTACAGTGCTTACTTTGGGTCTAGGCTAATTGGTGCGAGTGTTGGAAATATTTATTATTATTTATTTATTTATCGACGTCGAGATACAGCGTGGTGACAGACAGACGGAGAGCGGCGTCTTAGTAATGGGGTCCCGGTTTTACCCTTTGGGTACGGATCCCTAAAAATATCGCATGATTGATTAATATGTTGACTTAGCATTCTTCCGAGCTATTATGAATATTAGGTCGGCCCGGGAGTACTGTACGCGTTATAGATAAGGCACGGCAGGTACCTACGTACCCATCAATTGTGTGGAATTAAAATATTCCTGTCGTTGGCGCCCGCCGTGCCGTCACTACGTCACCGCCATGAAGAATATCGTGCGTGACGTAGGTATGAATCTGGCTAGCGTAAAGATGATTTTATAATTTCGTCGCCATTTCAATCATCGCTCATTCCATCAGATAAGAGGTGCGACACAGTAGACTGGATGGTAACGTAAGATTTGTGTATGAAATTTGCACTATGAAACATTTTTAATTTTCCTGTTTTAGATACAATCTGCTTAACTTTTTTCGAGTGCAATATTGTGACAGGTTTTCAAGATAAACAAGATAAGAACTTCCTGAGAACAGGTCACATAAAATTTTCGCAGTATGGAAATCACGAAAGAGCGGTCGTTATAGTTTTATAGTGCTTTCAAAGATTAGTATTAAATACAATGTTTTTACATTGCTTACTTTAATTTAGACTACAACTTCTATGATAAAAAAGCCTGGTATTCAGTGTGTGCCTATCGTAATAAGAATGATGTGTGACGTAAGACCGCTCGATTGATGTTACATTAGTTGTCAAGGAATTCTTGAGAACTATCAATTGTTTATCACAGACATAACAAAGGGGGAGTAGAATAGGAGTATTAATGAGAAACGGCATTAAAGTACAATGATGACATAGTCTTTAGATGACAATATTATGATTTTGAAAAATGTGATAAAATTTTACTCGGTGCTTGCTCGTTGTTCAAATTTTTCTGAATAAACTGGTTCAATGCGCTCCTGAAAACGACTATTCTATTTAAACCTAGTTTTATTGGTAGTTATCTGGTGAAAAAATATCATGTTTGATGCTTGAGAGACATATCTTCTCTACATTTTGTGTTTTTTGTCCTGACAGGGAGCACCGGGTGAGTCCGGCGCGTTCGCGAGTGCCGGGCGAGCGGGTGTGGTCCGCTCGGAGGAGGCGCGGCGGGGGCCGGCGCCACGCTGCTGGCGACGCGCGCTCAACGTAGACCCGCCCTGGCTGCGGCACGCGCCCACCCGCTGACACTACCACCGCACACGCACGTGAGTCTATACCCAACACCCGTACACACACACACACACACACACACACACACATACACACACACGACGCGCGCTCAACGTAGACCCGCCCTGGCTGCGGCACGCGCCCACCCGCTGACACTACCACCGCACACGCACGTGAGTCTATACCCCACACCCGTACACACACACACACACATACACGACGTGCGCTCAACGTAGACCCGCCCTGGCTGCGGCACGCGCCCACCCGCTGACACTACCACCGCACACGCACGTGAGTCTATACCCAACACCCGTACACACACACACACACACACACACACACACACACACACGACGCGCGCTCAACGTAGACCCGCCCTGGCTGCGGCACGCGCCCACTCGCTGACACTACCACCGCACACGCACGTGAGTCTATACCCAACACCCGTACACACACACACACACACACACACACACGACGCGCGCTCACCGTAGACCCGCCCTGGCTGCGGCACGCGCCCACCGGCTGACACTACCACCGCACACGCACGTGAGTCTATACGCCACACCCGTACACAAAAACTGCGACACGTACGGACAAGTTTTTTAGCCAGGAGTAATGCGTACGCATTCACCACCGCTGGGTAGAGCGGCAAGGTTAAATTATGACTTCTGTCTCCTTTTCCTACCCATCCACTTAGATAACTTCGATTCAGTTCTTAACTCAACCTACACTCGAAACCTTCAATGAGGTGGGAGATGAAAAGCAACACCCAAACCTTCTTCTGATATCCGTCTGTGTAGAATAGGGTCTGAGAGGGCAGAGTCCTTACGACTTTCCACACAACTTCCTTACAAAACGTCGCGATTGCTTCCTGTTACCACTCACTGCTCTGTATAGGTTTCATTTCTTTAAACAGAGACTGGAAACCACTTCTACTAAATCTGATTCATTCAAAGATAATGAAATATTTATGGTATATATTATTTTGTCAATAGCTGACACTTGTGGACTAGCGCTAGCGAGGCCCCGCCACCCGGCGCCGAGGCCAGTTGACCCCCCGCATACGCCACCATCGCACGGGGGAGCGAACCCATCTGATCCGCAGTCCAACATTCCCAGGTAATCATCAATATGTATGACTGGAAATACTCATGAAAACACAATTGTAGATTATTGAGAGGACATTACCAAATTCAAAGTCCAACATAATCTTCATGAAGAGTATGTGAATAAGGAAGAAGAAACAAAAGAGAATCCTTCACACAGATACATAGATAAAACATAAGCAAAGTCCTTGTAGCATGAGCACCACAATATACATGATAACACGATTTCTATCGCGTCTAACTGTCAAACTCCATAGTAATTTGACAATTGAGCGTGATGAAAACGCGTTATATATCATATCACGGTGTTCATGCTAGGGGGCAGACATAGATTGCAATAGTTTGCCGCAGGTGTAGAAGACAAGGGGGTAGACGTGGGCATTTTTGGTTGTGAACGCAAAAGGATATATCCGATTTCGGATTTCAAAATCTGTTTTTAGATATCCGATTTCAGATGTGCCTAGTTTTCCCAATTCACTAGTTTGTGTCGATTTGGTTTTATTAGCTATTACAGTTTTTGTAATAAACAAACACATATTAAATACATCACCACATCGCCTAGTCACCCAAATATAATCTTTAAGTACCGAGTCGTAGGACTATATTGTTCGCAAATATTTAATGAAGATTGCCGCAAACAACAAACCGAAATCGGACTTCCGAAATTCGTGCCATCTTTTATAAACGGCTTTGTTGATTGTTTAGACAGAGACAAAGCTTATTTTACTGATGCGCGAAATTTTGAAGAAATTGACTTTCTCGTTCTAACCAATCGCAACATAGTAGAGTAAAAAAGATTGCTCGAATTTCGAATCCGATTTACGTTTTGATACAAACACACAGTACGTTTGGTGGTATTTTACCATTGGAATTTTGGTTCGGTTAGAGATCTGATATCGGATTTTCTTGTTGAGAAGTCGATTCGGAATCGATTGAGTTTCAAATCGGATTTTGGATTCGTTTTGATATATCGGACGCATGCCTACAAGGGAGCATAAAACTCTTGCTTTAAGGCTTTATTGTATTTCTACGCGATACCTATTTTCCAACAATTAATTTGTCCTTTTGAGTACTCGATATATGACTGAAGCAAATGCGTTGTATACTTAACTCTAGATCTGTGCAAATATGTTTCTCTGGAGTACTTAGCAACGATTCGTGAATATGCTTAGATAATAACAAAACATCAGTTAGTTACCAACTAAACTCAAATTAATATTATTGTTAAAGTTGTATCATTATTCCACTACCAATAGATAATAACTAATAATTTGTTATGATAGTTGCACAAAGAGATCAAAGGTGAACCGGGTTAAATATTAAAACAAAAGATAAATAATTATGTGTAACTAACATGGGAAATTAGAAATGTAAGCTTTGTAATGTAACCTGAGTAGGATTAGAAACTTCAAGTTTTATGTGGAAGTTATATTATGACGCTTAACGAGTACAACCTAAAGTTGTAAATCGATTTCATGGATGGACCGAATGTGCGCAATGCATTGTTTTATTAGATTAGTCTAACAGCCATACTCAGAAATGTTAAATTAATTTAATGCTTTATTATGCCAGTGTGTCTTAATCTAATGTAATCGCAAAGAAAGTGAGTAAGTAACTAAAAGGTTGATTTTGATTTTTCTGAAAGTGATTTTGAGTGTTATGCTGATGATCGCAGATGACCTTTACAGCATCATCGGTTTTGGGAACGGCAGATCTTAAGGGGATCTCGAGCCGATAAATGGCGAGTGCCTTAAAGAGGTATACCAAGCGGATGCCATCTTCCCTCGGGGGAGTCTCCTCCCAGTTTGGAGCCTCTAGACCTCTCGAACCTGAGGGGATTATTCATATAAGGAAAATTCTTCATCCAGCAGGGCAAACGAAAATGATTGTATCGGAGGAGCAGCGCATCCGCGTGATGGAGGGCGATTGGAGCCCCCTGTCTGTGGGGCGGCACATCGTCGACGGGGGCCTGCAGGAGGACCCCTTCTACGTGATGGATGTCGGGGAAGTGGTCGCCCGCTACCACACCTGGCGCGAGCTGATGCCGCGCGTCGAGCCATTCTATGGTAAGTTATACTTATTTGTGAGATTATTGCGGTAAGTTGGCTATTACAAACGAGTAGCCAAATTTCGTCTCGGGCTTACCATAGTCACGATTTTGTAAATATCAATTCCTTACCTAACCTTTTTTCAACACATTTGCGAGAAAACAGTGTAGGTAAGTACATAATTTAAGCAATAAAGTAAACTTTTTCTAATAAGAAAATGGCGCGTATTTCTAAATGGCGCCACCGCGCCCGCGCGCGTGTGGTGAAAACAAGAACTTCATCTTTCGTTTCTTTTTCTTTTTAGTATTAAAGGGAGACAAAGGTATAGAATAAAAGAGCTTCCAAAGAGGTTCGATCGAAATGAAAAACCGTAAAGAAAACGCACGCCGCCATGTATTTGAGCGTGCGATAAAATGTTTACCGCACGCTCCGTTGTGTGACTCGTAATTTTGAACTTTCGAGCAATGTATACAACCTCCGTAAATGCATTTTTTTTGCAAATGTGTTGAAAATATGTATTGCAGCATCATTACCGTTAAACACATGATGCAGGACGGTGATTGTACCGGAGGAGCAGCTATACATTGCTCGAAAGTTCAAAATTACGAGCCATACGCTAAACTACTACTTTACTAGCGTTCCCATACACATTCAGACTGAGCAACAATCGCATGATATTGATAACCTTCTAGAAATAGAGAAATACAGCTGATACATAGAGGAACGATTTAAATATTCCTACCAGAATGCTTTGTCGGTCTCACAATTATTTACCCAATTTTGTTGTACAGTTAATTAGAGAGCGCTCTCTCCATATTATATGTCTTTGTTAGCATAAATCTATTTTGATTTGGGTACCAAGTTTACAACGCAATACGATACAAAGCTTGCTATTTCCATTAATTCTACAATTTTATTGCTATTGATAAATTTTACAGTGATCAACTATTCCATATTTGAAATGGCAACATCTTTGTCGTACACTTGTTGCCCTTTCTGCCATTAATAAATTGCATTATTAAATACAACTTGTGTTTATCAGAGCCTGTTTAAGAATTTGGCCCTTCGAGCCGCATTTTAAGGCCCTCAACAACATTTATATTGTTACAGTGACAAGCGCAATATTTCATATTATTCTTCTTCTATTCTCATATTGGCTAGACTTACCCCTTTATTCCTAAACGGAATAAAATTAATCTTTGTTTAAACCTAATGTTGCCTCTTTTTTGCAAACAAAAGTGACAAAATCAGTTTTAGTCCAGGTTTAATTTTAGTTTACGTTTTGTAATAAGGCGGTAAGAATCGAGGCTTTTATGTTCCCTGCTAAGGAAAAGGAATACTTCGGTCATTTTTATGTTTTCTATAAATTACTTTGAAGAGCTTTCAGTTCAGACACACGTTAATTGTCAATCACGCGACGACGCGTGTTCCCAGTGCTCTTCATTTTGGCTCTTCACGCGACGTCGCGTGAAGTGTCCGAATAGTTTTGTTTGCAGAGTATTGCGTGGGCCACCAGTAGAAAACTCCAATTTGAATTTTGTCAATTAAAGTGTACGATTGTTGCAGCGGTGAAATGCAACGACGACAAGTTGCTAGTGTCGACGCTGGCAGCGCTGGGGACCGGTTTCGACTGCGCTTCCAAGGCGGAAATCGAACTGGTGACCAGCATCGGGGTGCGCCCTGAGTGAGTATCTGTGCTATCTTATCCATGACATGACTTGATTAGACTATGACTTGTTAGCAGTTAGTTCAACTTCAAAAGTAGCCATTAAGCTGTACAGTTTAAATATATTTTTTATAGAAAACTAGCTGTCCCAGCGAACTTCGTACGGCCATAAAAAAATAAAAACAAAAAACAAGTCATTATGTTTCAATACTAACACACGACACACTTACAAAGAAAAAAAAACTTCAAAATCAAATTTCTGCCCATGAATTCGGCTATTCATTCATTATGTTAAACAGAAATCCCAACCAATCCCATGATAGGCGTGTTGATCGCATTTTTTAGCCCCGCCCACTTGATCGCAGTTTGCTCGGAACCACTTTTTAGTACAGTTCGTAATTTTAATTCTTTGCTCCCTAAATATAATAAAGATTGTAAACAAAAACTGTTTGTTTTAATTGAAACAGGCGCATTATATTCGCGAACCCGGCAAAGATGGCCTCCCACATCAAGTACTCGGCGCGCGTGGGAGTCGACACCATGACCTTCGACTCGGAGACTGAGCTCATGAAGATCAAACAGCACATGCCGCGTGCCCAGTGAGTTATTATTATTTTTAATTCTGTCTTGTTGTATCTATCTTTACAGGGTGTGTGAAACAATAGGACAACTTATTAAGTAACAGAAAATTCAATATAATTATTTACTCGAGCGCGGAAGAATAACATAAGGGGGGCAACCTTGCACCTTGTGCATTACTGCCACCATACCTGAGCCCTCTATTAAGGTACGAACGTCTAGGGCAGCCAAAAAAATCAACAAACAGTCATGAGTTTTGGTCGCGTCTAGGGTTAATATTTAAAAATTTGAAAAGTCCTGACAAAAAGCCGGAACTTTCGATAAAGGTCCGGACATTTTAGTCACAAAATGCACCCACTTAGTTATTATACGCGTGGTAGTCACAGCCGTAGGACAGCCACTAGATGAGATTCGAACTCAAGTTGTTATGCCCCGTATGAACGCGCACGTTAAATATAAAAAAAAAACATGTTCTGATATACGACTAAAAGCAATTTTACACAAATTTATCCATAGTTGTCATAATCACACATTATTTCAGAATTTACTTCCTCATAATTCTGTAATCTTAATATAGCCGTCGTGATCAATTATGATGATGATGATTTTATTCATATATCGAGTAATATTTATCTATATTTAGTACCCAGAAATATGTGTAGTGGGTTTGTTATCTCAGACACGGACCGCATAGTAACAGCCTATGAATATTAAGATTATGGTTTTATCTTGAAATGAACAACTGAATTAACCCGAATCTCATCTTGTGGTTGTCAATTGATAACAATCTAGATTTATAAAGATTATTTTCACGATTTCCGCACGTGCTTTTATGATTAAAATTTCATTTATAAGAAAGTACCAATCAATAAAAAAAAGAGTGTGCTTATGACCATACGACTGAAGCGAAACTTCTTTAGCTACATCACGTTCGCCACGCCCGAACACACTTTTCGTAACGCGTAACGCATTCGTCAGCTTACCCCCCAAATCAAACGTGCGTAAAGAAGTTTCACTTCAAAACAGCGTTTTCATATCATAAGTAATTTAAAATTATTAGTTAAGTAATCTAGGCAATAGCTAAAACCAACGCAAGCACTAAATGGTCTCAACTCTTTAGAAAAAAATAAAAAAGGCAGCCAATATATATAGGTATATGATTTTTGAACCGCCTAATCGCTTCGTCTCACATTTATGTGACCAATTTCTTGATAGTTTATTAGGGAGCTCTGTGTTTATTCTCCAATTCTATGGTCTATCCAGAACGACTTGTAATTATGAAGTGCCAAGGCCCGATTCTGACAGGGGTCTGTAAACTCTCAAATTGAATTTGACAATAATGTACCTTGTTATGCTCTAAACAGAATGAAAAGGAAAGACTGTTGTCAAATTTCGCTTTATGTTCGAGTGGGTCACCGCTCAGTCTCCCTATTCCATGGAAAGGTCTGTGCCCCTGTAGCGGAGAAATTAATAGGCTAATGTTGATGCCGCAAAAACTACGTCGGTATTTTCCCTCAAAGAGAAGCTTGCCACAAGCGGTCCCACTGTCACGCTGTTTCAGACCCCAGTTTTCTTGCTAGTTGGTTGGGGATCTCTTAGTCCATTCTATAAAAATGTTTTTACGGATTAGATGTACTAAATTTATTTATTTATAGACGTTTCGCAGCCTTTTCAGGTCGGCGTCGTCAATAATACGTTAGAATAATGAATTATTCAGTTTTATTTAATGAGTGATGTGCGTGAAAACCTAAGTAACAAAAATAAAAGTACATTCTCTTTAAGAATAGTGTGTCCAGAGCGGAAAAGCGTTGCCATTGATACGGCAATTTGAGCTCATAATTTCAGATTATACGGCATACGGAAGGTTTGTCATTGCCGTATAATAATACTAACTACCTGTAAATTTTAATAAATAAAATTTGCTAGTACGGCAAAATAATGATTTTTATTTAAAAATCTGATGTATCGAATACGGCAACTTTTTCAAACTTGATGGCAACACTGGAGCGGAAGAACCTTATTCTCATACGTGTTTGTTCGGTTGTCAGACTGGTGGTCCGCATCCGTTGCGACGCGGCGGCAGCTCAGTGCCCGCTCGGCATCAAGTTCGGGTGCGACCCCGTCACTGAAGCGCCGCGCCTCTTGAAACTGGCCGCAGTATTGGGGCTGGAGGTGAGTGCTTAATAATAATAATTCATTTATTTCAACCATAAAGATCATAGCATGGCAATGGTGTCGATTCTGGCATGATTCTCTAAACCTAAACTTAAATTTGACAGCAGTATATCCTTGTCATTCTCTATACAGAATGAAAAGGAGAGACTGATGTTAAATTTAGTTTTAAGTTTAGAGAATCATGCCAGAATTGGTACCATTGACAATATAATAATAAAAAGTAATAATTTATGATACATAAAAACAAATTAAATTACATCTCAACATACAATTACATTTAAAACAAAATAAATTTAAATTCAATCGGTTCACACCTATTAACAATTTCAAAATGTCAAAATCTAAAATGCTTAGCATAGGAACCCACGTGTACCAAGTTTTAATGACAACATGTTAAACACCAACTACACACTCATTAATAAAAAAAGAATAAGCTTGGACTAGTCATTCCATGTTTTGTCTCTGCCAGTAGAATGACAAACGGCATATAACAGAGTTAAATTATTATAAATTAATTAACAGAGTTTAATATTATTAAAATTCACAAACACCACAAATATAGGCTTTGCAGAGAGAGGAATAACTTTAGTTTTATAATTTGTTAGTGTACAAAATTTTTAACAAAAAATTCTTTGTTTGTCATTCATTACCAGGTGATCGGCGTTTCGTTCCACGTGGGCTCTGGCACTCAGGAGACGGGCGTGTACCTGCGCGCGATCCAATATTCGCGAGCGTTGTTCTCGCTCGCTGCGAACGTTGGCCACGCGAACATGCGTCTGTTAGACATCGGCGGGGGATTCCCCGGATCGCTGCACTCTGATATACGCGAGGTGATTATGATGAATTAAAAAAAAACTTTTTTTATTGCAATAGTTTAAATGTGATGAGCTCGATGGCGCAGTAGTTAGCGCGTTCGGCTGCGATCGTTGAAGTTAAGCAACTTTTGCAGTGGTCGGTCATTGGATGGGTGACCAAAAATGTACTATCTCGAGCTCTGTATTAAGCCGTTGGTCACGGCTGCATCTTCAGTCATTAGCACTTACCAATCCGCACTGGGCCCGGGTGTTGGGTTCTGTCATGGCCCAATCCCCAAGTCCATCCATAAGAAAGGCCTGTGCCCCAGCAGTGGCGACATTTATAGGCTGATGATTGTGTTTAATGTGTATGCTCGGAAAAGTCTTGAATTGTCAAACATTTATTTCATAGATTTTATTGTAAATCAGTTACAATGAACTGAATGTTAGTCTCATCTGGCTATATGGCGCTCTAAATAAATGAAAAGCAAAGGGAATGTAGAAAATTCAACACAATTTGTTTATCAATACATTTTTATTGAAATCTCTCTCTTTTTTTTTTTCATGGAATCTTGCTAGTCGGATTTGACTCACGTAACGGTGCGTGAATTTATGAAGTGGATGACAGTGGAATACTATTATAGTATGGAATTAATCTCATGACGAAGCCATAAACAGAGCCCTCTTTCCCAGTGGGCACTTTGGGCAAGTCCCAGGGCCCCGCGATCGATATCGCCTCAGATCAAATACAAAGTCCCTAGTTCCTGTTAAATCACCAAACGGGGATCGTAGGGACCCATTATCCTAATATGCCCAGGGCCTCCAATAGGTCAAAGACGGCACTTGTCATAAAAGTCATTTATTTTTGCAAATAGGCTTATAAAAAGCGCTTTTACACGTCCCAGTATTGCTTCATAGCTACCACTGCTTCGAGAAAATAATGGGCTAGTGCTGAGGAGAAGCAGCGCAAGAAACTCAGTCACCTTTATCAGCCTCTTCAAGGATTCACAATACTCTATACAATTATAAATATTGATGCGAGCTAGGCAGTTATAACATTCCAAACATTTTTATCTTCAACTTTATCAGAGCCCTTTTTCATTAAGGTTCTTTCAATATGTGCTTTAAATTTATGGATACGGCAGTTCTATAATAGTTTGTGGTAATTTATTGAAAAGTATAATGCATTATTCCATAAATGAATTACTCATAAGATTAGTAATTCATTTATGTCTAATTCTGATAATATCAGTCTAAAATTTGAAACCGCAAGTTTATTTTTGTTTCTTCGAACTATATGATAAAATCAACGTCATTATAATGCGATTCAACTAAGAATAGGACCGATAGGGCGCCGTATTGTGACGTCATAGTTGACAATTCAAATCAGTAAGCTAAAAAGTTTTCTTTAATAAAACTTATTTACCAAGATTAAGTGAGAAAAAACATTAATCAGAATCTAGCTCTTTAATTCCGCTTATCTCTGCACTACCGTTGTAGTAATCATCATCATCGTCATCATCATCACTAATGCTTTGGGCTAGTAGGTAGGTAGGTTTTAAAACGACAAATTTCCCTTTTCCAATACTCATTTTCTATACGTTTTATATGATTTATTTCCTTCTTTTGTTTACAAATGCTTGGTATTTATTCTAAGATTAGCTCAGTGCTAAAAAAAAGTGTTCCAAGTTTTTTTTGCAAACTGTACTTTTCAAGCGATATTTGACAGATGGAGGCTTTGCTATTCTTATTTGAATCGCATAGTACATCCAGTTTGGGTTTATTTTAATAGACTTGACATCCTACAATATATTAAAGGTCTGTTGATGGAACCCGAAGGTGAGCATGTGAACCTTATCAGAGTGGTTTCACAAATGTGTCCAACTGTGACATACTTTATGCATGACCCTTTTAAGGCGCATAATTGAAGTAAAACTTCTTTACGAACGCTTGGAGAGTAAGCTTGCGAACGCGTTACGAAAAGTGTGATCGGGCGAGGCGAACGGGAGTTGAATGGGGAAATAAGCAAGAGAAAACAGTGCGCGCGCACATATTCTTTCTCTTAGAGCTAATAAATGAAATATATGTACATACATGCATACAATGTACACACACACATATATATACATATACATACAGATTGAGCTAAAGAAGTTTCACTTCAATCGTGTGGTCTTAGGCACACGTGTTTTTTTTCTTGTATCCTCAATCTACATTCTCTTTTCCTTCCATGTTAAGGTGTCGCAAGTAATAAACGGCGCATTGGACACGTACTTCAGCGATCGCTCTGTCCGAGTGATCGCGGAGCCGGGCAGATACTTCGCAGCCGCCGCCTATACACTTTTCGCTATGGTGCACGCCACTAGAGAGGTAATATTTGGGTTATTTTAAGTGTTTTAATTTTGTATGCAATTTTTCAGGTACAAACTAAGTGGTTTTCATTTCAATAATTTATTTATACATATAAATAAAATTGGAGTGTCTGTTTGTAATATTGAAATAACCGCTTTTTACTAGCTGCATATGAATATATATACGGTACATACACCAAAATAACATTTTTTACAATTTTTGTCTGTCTGTTTGTACCGGCTAATCTCTGAAATGGCTGGATCGATTTTGACGGGACTTTGACAGGTAGCTGATGTAATAAGGAGTAACTTAGGCTACTTTTATTTTAGAAAAAAAAACTGAAAGTTAACGCGGACGAAGTCGCGGAATAGAATTTTATTTATTAACATACATTTATTTATTTGTTTTATTGTTATTCAGGTCTCTCAGAAGGACGAGGAAGGCATCGAGCAAAGCCACACGATGTACTTCATCAACGACGGTGTCTATGGCTCCTTCAACTGTGTGCTCTATGACCATCAGCACGTGGTCGCAGAGACTATAGAGGTGACATATTAAATACATAATATATTTCATTTCTCTATGATTTTTTTTAAATTCCTCAGGTAACTCAATATGCACGGTATATGTGATAATACATGTATTTTAATTTTGTTTCCAGCCTAAATGCGAGAAGCCTCAGCCGTGTTCCGTATGGGGCCCCAGTTGCGACGGATTGGACTGCGTTTTGCCGAACACTTTCCTACCGCCTCTGATTACCGGCGAGTGGCTCATGTTCCGAGACATGGGGGCTTACACTCTGCCCGTCGCTTCCGCCTTCAACGGGTTCCCGGTGCCTAAAGTGCGAGCTGTCATTGATTCTAGCGTTTGGTGAGTACGAAATTTACGATAATTTTAATGTTAATACACCTAATAATTCTTGCTGTCATATAAGTCTCTAAGGCGCGTATTATAGAAAGATTTTCAGTGAATGATCTAGTCTTGAGTATAGTTAGAGAGGGATGTTGCTATATATGGTTGATTCTCAGTTAAGAGGTATGTTCGACGGCTAAGCCAAAAAAATCATTATATTTGGAAATTATGGTCTAAAATCTTAATAATTTCAAATAACTAAATGTGTTCTAAATTATCACTTCAAATTATATTCTAAATGTGCATAATTTACTTACAATAACAGCACAAAGAGGAAAAACATATAGTACATAGCGACATCCTTTTCTAACTGTGCTCAAGTAAAGATCAACACTTAGTTGTAATTCTGTAATATGGGCCTAAAGCGTGGTAAGTGCAAACTTAAAGCTGACAAGCTGGCAAACAAAACGGTATAATTACATAAAATTAAATTTTACAGGAGCTATTTAAAACTGAATGACATAGCTCCAGTGAGCTTTTGGCATGGTTTAATTTATAAATTTCATAATTTTAACACTATTTTAGGTGGTTTTGATTGAAAATTATTTGAGATTCAAATTCAACGAGCCGGACACCTCCGGACTGTAAAAAAGAGTAGTTTATTCAGATGCGTATTTATACCTTTTTATTTCGCCAGCTCCTTAACTATGAAACTATGTTTGATGACATGTGACAAAAAAAAAATGAAAAATTTAGTGATAATATTTCGATTTTTTAGGTTACCTTGAACCCCTCCTCACCACTCCTGGACCTCTGAAATTTCAAAAATTAGATTAGATAAAAAATTCGGATTGAGGAGAAAATTTTAGAAAAAGCAACGATGTTTTATGTGACGCTGATTCCCCCATGATATTTGTAGCATCCTGGCATGATTCTATACGTACCAAATTTTAATTTTGGGACACAAAGTCACGAAAACTACTCACGAACCACGTTAAAGATCCCAAAGGAGTATGATAGTAATCTATCAAACACAATACGACGACCTCCGTGGCAGAGTTGTACGCCGGGTTTCATGGTGTCGCCGACCCGGGATCGAATCCCGGTGGAAGCAGATGTTTTTGTGATGAATACGAGCATTTGTACTCCAGTCATGGATGTTTAATATGTATTTCTATATAAATATACTTATATATGTCTATCCATTACCCTAGCATCCCATAACACAAGCCTTACAGTGATTACTTTGGGGCTAGGCGAATTGGTGTGGGTATTGGAAATATTTATTATTTATTTATATTGTATTCTTTCCCTACAGGTCTGCATTGAAAGATCTATGGCCTCTCAGCGAGTCTCACTTCTGTCGCGGCGACCCGATGACTGGCCCGCAGACCGTCGACCAGTCGATGTTGCCGTCTCTCTCCGACACTCCATCGCCGTCTCCCTCCCACTCGCCCGCGCCAGTATTCGTCGAATGCGCCCTCAAGTGACGAGTACGCGAAATTGAACGCAAGCCACAAGCAATAATCGCTTCTGCCGGATAAATTCTTTAGGGATCATCCATTAATCTCATTAGTTATTTAACATATGAGGAGCTGGCGAACAAAACGGTATAATAAAACATCTGGTCAAACTACTTCTTTTTTACAGTGCGGAGGTTTTGGGCCCGTCGAATTTGAATCTCAAATAATTTTCCAACAAAACTGCCTAAAACAGTGTTAAAATTACTAAATTTATAAAATAAACACCATGCTGAATGCTCACTGGAGGTGTGTCATCCAGTTTTATACAGCTCCTGTGAAATGAAATTTTATGTAATTGTACCGTTTTGTTCGCCGGATATTTAAGTACCGAAACGCAAAACATTTATTTGATTTTGATTTTCCGCTAAAACTTTTATTTATAACAAAAAAACTAATTGACTTGTCACTACTGTTTTGCGAGATTAATGGACGATGCCCTAACTAAAAATTTTCATATATGGAGGAAAATTTGCGTGGACAATTTATAGTTAATACTAATTCTACCTGTCTTATTAATGATGTAAATTTTTGAGTGATGAATTTCAGTATTTTCCGCCAATGTATGAGATAGAAACAAGTTATTCGTTCTTGCTTTTTTTTTGGTTAATATCTTTGATGGTGGGCTTAGAATGAGATTAAGTGCAATAATAATGTGTTTTGGTGTTATATAAGCGTCATGCAAAGCTGTTGTGCGTTGTGGCTGCGCACATCCCTTTAATATTATCTACCTATATTCAAAGCAATGTATGGAATCATTTTATTTTATTATAAAATAATTTTGAGTCGCAAACAAGTGATGTCGTGCGGATGTCCCTGCAGATTGTAAAACACAATGAGTAACACAATCGCGGCTTTTTCTTTATTTTTAATGGACTTGATTCATCATAACATTTGACCATTTTTAAATTTAAATATATTTTCATATGTGAAAACATATATTTTTTTTCTAACTTTCCTTTTTATTGTGTATGTGTTTTTTTTTAATAATAATAATGTTAATGCTATGAAATCTTTATGTATTTTTAAATAATCACGCAATACTTTTTACTTTATACAAAATAATGTGGTGGTTAACTTGGGTAGATATATTTTCAATAAAATGTGAACTTATGAGAGTTTAGACGTTTTTAGTTGCCTAACGATTCGAATATTATCGAGACTAGCTTTTATGTACTGCCATTTGTATTTGAAAGTGTTATTTTGTTAATGTTTGTGTTCGCACATTCGTCTGTAGACGTAGGACATCTGTTATCGCGTGTTGTAACATTTCCGATTTTTAAATGTAATGGACTTTTTTAAATGTAACATGTTTCGTGGTTAGATGGGTTCCGCAAACATTTGTAGCAAATGCTTTTTTGAATATACATTTCTGAATGTATGCGTTTGTTTTATTTTTCTTTACTTGTAAGATCAGTGACGTATGAGGTTACCCAAATTAGAATTGGTCGGAAAGTTAGACTACGTAAAGTCGGAGCCAGCTCAGATTTGAGTATTTACGAACCCCTGCCCCTACGCCTAGTACACTCACCATGGATCACAATAACGGTATTTCGAAAATACCAAAAAACATACAATTAGGCGTTGAGCAGACGACGGGGCGGGGCGGGCATTTTGCGCGCGAAGCAATAAAAACCGCGTCTGCCCGTCGATGTCTGCGGCTGCCCTCGCCGCGTACACAAAGCACACGACGGGCAGAAGCGGTCAGTTTAGGACGTTCGTTCTAGTGAATAGTCCATCACTAATAAGCGCGTGGCGCGGACTGAGCTAGCCGCCCCGCGCCGCCGTCTGCGTTACTGCATATAAACTGGTTTGTATGATCCACGGCGGGCAGCCGCGGACATGCCGCGCCGCCAGTGCCCGCCGGGCACCTGCGGCGCGGTCTTTTTGCCCTCTGTGTGCGTTTGAAGTATAGGATTCACTTTGTGCTATTATTCGCGGCAAAATTGACCGGCCCGCCCCGCCCCGTCGTCTGCAAAGTGCCTTAATGAAAAATAGCGCCTCAAGGAAAAAAATCACTTAAACCTGCATTCTTTAAAAACCTAGTTAGATATGTCCGGCTCACAGATCATAGCCAAATTCTTCGTCGAAGGCTCATTTTTATACTCACAAATAGCCTATTTTTAAAGTTTGTACGGTGCCTCCACATGCTTGGTGTTTGTTACAAACGCCAAACACTTCGAGCAAAATGCCAAGCGCCGATGACAATCACACAACAACAACAAACAGGCCGCCTTACGCTGGTGTTGGTTGTTTATGTGGAAGCACCAGTATGTCTTTTACAAAAACGGCTCAAAGGATTTGGATGAAATTTGGTACACATTGGATTGAGGCAAAGGATACTAAATCTAGGTCTAGATTTATACACTATATGGATCGTGTCTCCACACGGCGAAGCAATCAGTGTGTGTCAAACGTCATCTTTTCGTCGTCTTATATAATGCCGTCAGCAAGAAGCTTATATACAACACTGGAGATTGCAGTGCAAACAATACCTTGAAGTGAAAAAATATGGCCTTGAATGACGTCACATATGTTTGTTATCTCTTTCTAAGGGTGACCATGTTGGAATATACGTTTAGGATACATACTTACTGGTATCGTGTTTAAACAATTTATAAATCAAAGCGTTGGAGTTGATAGGAACTTGGGAACACATTATTTAATAGTAATAAAATTCACAAGTACAAAAATCATTTTATTCATATTAGATGCGTCTTATATTATGCAATGTCAAAAACGTTTATAAAAAAATTAAAAGAATATGCAAACCCTTTTTAAAATCGCCAGAAATGCCTTTTACTAAGAACGGACTAGAAACTCTAAGCTACATATTTTGGCTGATAAATAAAATTGACCTTTTAATGGTATTGTTAGGTGTTGGGATACGGTTCGAAATTATATGCCAGTTCACGATTGACAGTTCTTTATTCACCACACAGTTCACACAATTAACACACAATACAAAACACTCACTAAACACTGTATTTCACTATACAAGTCTCTAAACAATCTCACTTGAACACTTTTGTTGCACTTTGATCGCCTTTGGATTCGCTCCGAAATCGCTGTTGAAACTCAACTGTCTCTACGCGGCGCCAATCGCCCTTATATACGCCGATCGATGCATTCTAGAAAGTAAATAAATAAATAAATATTTCCAACACTCACACCAATTAGCCTAGCCAAAGTAAGCACTATAAGGCTTGTGTTATGGGATACTAGGGTAACGGATAGAATACATAAACTGTACATATATAAGTATATTTTTTTTTATAGAAATACATATTAAACATCCATGACTGGAGTACAAATGCTCGTATTCATCACACAAACATCTGTCCCCATCGGGATTTGAACCCGGGACCTCTCGAGTCGGCGACACCATAAAACCCGGCGTACAAACCACTCGACCACGGAGGTCGTCGAAAGTCGAAGTTCTAGAAAGTACCTGTTAAATTGAGAATTACCTAGCACCCGCGAGTACGAAATACCTACTTATACCTACGCAAGTAACACGCATAACTTATAAACAAGTGCAGATATCGTTGCACTTTCTCCTTTACGACGCACTGCATAAGGCTCATTCTAGAATGAGCCGCCTTACTCGACTTCTATTGCGACCCGCGGTGCTCTGGCAAATTCGATGTATAGCACATTCGCGGTTCCGTTTCGAGAGCGTTTGTGACAGTATAATGGACAACCAAGAATTTCTTTATATGACATCTTTCGGGAAGCTGAAACATAAACAAATGTATAAGACCGCTGCTAGATAGCTGTTATTAAATAGGTTTTCTACATCTAATCAACATGATCTACTACAGTATTTATTATAAACTTATTTTCATATTTTGAACTTTGTAATTAATATTTACAATAATACTTATGTATTTTAACTTTCTCAAAATAGCTCAAGTGTAGTGATAATGGTTACCCTACAAAACCAAAATTTATATTATTTTAATTTAATAAACTGCTGAATATGGTACGAAATGTAGTGAATAAAACAAGAATAACGTTAATTTATAGCCTCAGGACACTATGATTTATAAATACTAACGTTTTATTATGATTACAACATAAAAATATAGGAATATGTTTATTTCGGTATTGGCGTAATGTAATAGACTTACCTGTGAAATTTAGTGCTGGAATTTGGTTCCCAAACACTTCTGCAATCTCGCACAACACAATACATATTATAAATAGCAAATTGAACAATTTAACACTTTTTAATAATAATCTAAACATTCGAAGCGGTAGATTTTTTTTGACAGATCGGAGATATTCTTCAGGTGATTTTTTAATTAGTGTTGCTATTATACCAAAATGGTAGCAACCAGCAAACAGGGAAATAAAGGGCGTATTTATTATTCAGTTTTAAATATTGATTCCAAAGTAGTTGGTTAGAATTTGTCACACTCATCTTATAATAGTAATACAAGAGTAGGACTTCTGGAGATTGTAAAACTGATTGATATCTTGCATAGTTCTGTTTATTTTCACTTTGTGATTGGAATTTCTTGTATTTAACATGGTAATTTTAGATAGTGTGTGAGAGAGATAAAAAACATATCATGGGGTTAATGAACTCATCTTCATACAGAAGTTCTACATGCAATCTCCAGTGTTGTATATAAGCTTTTTGGCCGTCAGTTTACTTGGTTATTCGTATTTGCTAATTATAAACTTGAGCACAGTGACCTTATTATGGTTTTATAAGGAATGAAAAGGACAAACTGATGTCAAGTTTATAAATAGCAAACACGGGTTGCTTTCCAATTACAGCATTATTGCGCATTATGCGGCATAATGCTTAACGTTGAGTGTTCCAACTACAGCAACGCTTCGCACAATTGAGCACTCTCAAAAGTGATGCTTTCGTGTGATGCGTGCAATGGTACCAACTTAGAGAAAGAAAATTAACAAGTGTTTTTTCTTTAAGTTGGCATTGATCGAAATGTTTTATTTATATGTTATCGTTAGTAATATTATTTATTGTTGAAAAATTATTAAAGCTTTCGTTTCATTAAATAGTTTTTTTTAAATAATCAAAGTTCATTCAAACTGTTAAAAAATAAATATAAGTATGGATGAAGGTACAAACATTGACTTTTTTTTTCAACACTGAGCTTAGCGCACTCTGCTGGTGCATTTGAAAACTAATTCACGTTCCAATTAAGCATCAGCATAATTGGGCATTGTGCGGCACTGAGTCGCATTATGCTCTGTAATTGGAAAGCATACATTAATATCCAAGTGAAATGCCGGTCTGTCAACTATAGCACTGTCTAATTTAGCCGAAAGAGACTTACGAAACGCGGAACGCGTGTTGAGTCAAATCAAAATGTACTATCTTCTATGATCATTAAATCAAATGAGGAGCATCCGACGCGATACGATGCGCCATAGAAAATACGCGTCGCGATTCATAAGTCTGTTTCGGCATTTATAGATCGTGGCAAAAGCGCCTAAAAAATCGCCCCAATATTTTATTATAAGAAAAAAAGAGCATAGTTCAGAAACGCAAAAGCATTTATTGAACAGACAAGTATAATACAATGAAATTAGCCACGATAAATATTCCTAATGGAAAAAAAACATTAAATAACAATAAGAGTGTTGAAATTATAACATAAAAATAACTATTTGGAACATACATAATAAGAACAGAGCTAAACATATACTTACAATGTTATTAGAATTAATATAACTTTAGCTTATGAGGGACACTGAGGAATTACATTTTTGTCCTTTAGAATAGCAAAAAACTGGATTGTACTAGGTAAAAAGTTAGATCCCTCAACATAAGTCATTTCAAGCATTGGGAATAGTAATAATGACATGAACTTGCTACATATTTAATCATGTGTCAAGTATTCAAAGTAATCTAAGACCCTTAAGATTTTTTGTTTGTATTACACAAACAAAAAATCCTATACATTCACTAATAACGCGTTCAACGCCATACAGTAAGAAATATCATTTTCATCTATGCACATGGTAATAGTTCACAATCAGAAGATTCATCCATGCATGTTAACAATTCTATCCAATTATCACTTACATACATATCTCATCATACATATATCATTTGGGAGAAGAACTTACAAGTTCAAACAATTTTCACACTTTTCATTCATAACACATATTTACATCCAAAAAACATACAAGCAACCAACAATACACCTGCTTCCCAATTCACTTTTCTTCAGTGCTTTAAGAATTGATCCATTCACTCAAATATTTATTTTCAATCATTCAATTCCATCACAAATCAGTCATTGTTTTGAAAAGTTATTACAATTGATGACAATTAAGAAATTGTGAAGATATAGATAAATACCGAAAACTGACAGCTCTTAACAAATACAAGTTTCAGAATATGGTTTTTGACTGTTGTTAAATGAAAAAAAAATATGGCTCTATAAAAAGCTGATTATGATTTCCCTCTTTTACAAGGAAGTTTATTATAGAAGTTCTTTTTAGATAATTTTACTTCGTACACATAACTTCAAACTTCATATCTCCGGAAAAAGAGTTTCAAGTGTTTTGTATAATATAACAATCAGTCAAACACCTATCACATTGTGTATTTGACCTGCTATTATCCACAGAACTCAGTATCACATTTGCACTTCACTTTTACACATAACTTTTCACTGTAAACACTTTCACTGGTTAATTGATTCCGGTGAGCAGGGCTAGATCTCTTGTGTCAGTGTCATATCAGCAGATCTGAACGCTGTACATGTTGAGGTAAGTTTGTAAAGCTTGACGATGGGGTTCGTCCAGAGCTGCCACTAATGGAGGCAGTACTCCAGGCGAAGACCTGGACAGATTACCCAGGCTCTCGGCTAGGAAGCGCTTGGGATCATCGATGCCTGCAAATATATTTGATATGTTTGTAAATGTAACAGTAATGGTTTAGTATGTGATAGTGAATAGGTAGATAAATAAAAAGTAGAAAAATATGAGACTAATGGCGCAGGGGTGAAGGGGCACGATTGTAGAAATCAAGCAACATTCACAATGGTTGGTTATATGGTGGGTGACAATAATTTATTATATGCTAGGAGCAACGTCAAACCGTTGACTTCGACTAAGGGTTTCCTGATCAGGAATTCTGATTCGTAAACCTGTATGTACGTCCTTCCATACAAAATGTTCAACAAGCACGTTATTTTTTTTAGTTTTCTTAAGGCACGCTTGACTTGAGGGGTAAACTGGCGAATGTGTGACGATTTTTGTGTTACGCGCGCATCGGTGACTCATCGGTAAACAATGAACAATACCCGTCATAATGTACATGAATCTAGTGCTTGGTGGGTGATAACGGACCCAGCGCGGATTGGTGGGTGATAACGGACCCAGCGCGGATTGGTGGGTGATAACGGACCCAGTGCGGATTGGTGGATTATAACACCCAGCGCGGATTGGTGGGTGATAACGGACCCAGCGCGGATTGGTGGGTGATAACAGACCCAGCGCGGATTGATGGGTGATAACGGACTCAGTGCGGATTGGTGGATGATAACGGACCCAGCGCGGATTGGTGGGTGGTAATGGACCCAGAGCGGATTGGAGGGTGATAACGGACCCAACGCAGATTGGTAGTGACAATGGACCCAGTGCGGATTGGTAGGTGGTAACGGACCCAGCGCGGATTGGTGGGTGACAAGGACCCAGTGCGGATTGGTGGGTGATAATGGACCCAGTGCGGATTGGTGGATTTTTTTCAGATTGTTGTAGCTAAAGAAGTTTCATTCAGTCGTGTGGTCATAAGCATATACTCCCTTATTTTTTCAGATGGATGGATGAAAAAAAAACCGTAACGCTGGTCTCACGGAATTCCAGATTTGAATTTATAATCAGTACCCTAAGTACGAGTTTGAGCTCACGAAAACTATCATAGTGTTCGTAATAATATAATAGAGTCAAGGTTGCTGTCAAAGAGCCCACTTTGTAGGAGTAAATACCCTGGTGTGTCGTCCCTTTCAAATTGGAGAATATGTATGGTACAATACTCACTGGCAAGCGGATCGTTGGCGACTCCCTTGGCGCATGTAAGTTGTGCGTATTGAGCCTGGTAACCGGGGGCGTCGTCCACTTCGATGAAATGGTCTTCGGGTAGAGTAGACTCATCCGGGGGCAACTCGAACAGGGAGACCAGCGCCTGTGATGTTAATATAACAAAAATTAGTAAATATTCTTGAAACACTTAGCGGCAGCCTAATTTCTAAATGTACTACTAGCTGTCCCAGCGAAATTCGTACCGCCATAAAAAATAGGGGTTGGTGGTAGAAAGGTGAATGCAACCCGCATGTATTTTTGTATAATGTATAATAAAAAAATCAAAAACAAAAAAATTGTATAAAAAAAATTAAGGGTGGTGTCATTTAGGAGGACGAAAAATAGATGTTGTCCGATTATCAGACCTACTGAATATTCACATAAAATTTTACGAAAATCGGTCGAGCCGTTTCGGAGTAGTTAATTCAATTACGCGCACCGTGACACGAGAGTTTTTTAAATTAGATTCATATTGGATTTTTTCTACTTACTACAGAAATCTGAATTTTTCAATATGTTTTGAATCATATGCAAAACTATATATCAACAAGTGAATTTAAATTCGATTGCGAGATCGAAACAGATTTTAAATACTAAAATTGTAGGTATAATAAAAAATATTTATATGATAATACTAAATAAAATATATTCATATGATTAAATAAAAAACCTTGACTAGAAAACATATATTTATGCTCATCACACAATTAATGTCCATATTGGGATTCGAACTCAGTATATTTAGAAGAGAAGATAATCAGGACCATCGGACCATCGTAATCAGAACTTTTTGTTCTTTATCTTTCTTCAAGTGAGGATTAACCTGCCTGACTGAAGTGAGCGCTGTGTGAACAACTTCACGCGCATTCTATGGCATCGTCTATATGTCTGTCTGTACGGGTATGGTAATGAACTGTACCCCTAGCACGAACCAAAATCGAATTCGTAACGTTTGCGAATCCGAAATGCCATTGTCAAATGTGTACTGATTTTTAGTTCCCGTTACGTCCAAAGTGGCGCTGCTGTTCAAGTTTCCATACAAAATTTGACATTGACATTTCAGTTTGCAAACTATTCGAATTCGATATTGGTTCGTGCTAGGGTTACTGGTACTGCTAGCGGAGTCGAGTCGGCTTTTCGCTACTATTGGTAAACTTGGCCCAAACTGTACAATAATATGACATTTTTAAAATATCTGTTTAAATGAGTGCTTATCTTATTATTTGTATACACATTTCAAAATAGGTACTAGGGTTGTGCCGCCAGACCCATGTATGGGTTTTCTTAAAATGTACAGCTGAAGAATAGTGACAAAAACTAAAATAATTATAATTTTGATTGCATGATAAATAACATAATGATTTGTATTTTTATTGACTTTTTCAATTTTAGGAAAATAACGATAATGTGATATAAACTTAACTTTTTGAGAACATCACACTAGTATTATAAAGGCGAAAGTTTATGAGTGTGTGAGTATGTGTGTGTATGTTTGTTACTTCTTCACGTCTAAACGGCTGGAGCGTTTTTTAAAAAATTTAAAAAAAATTTCGAGTTAGCTGACACCCTGGATTAACACATAGCCTAGGTTTTACTGCGGGAAATATCCATATTAAACCGCGGGTAACACCGCGGGGCACAGCTAGTGGTTTTATAAATTTCAGATCATGGTTTTTCATTCGCAAATAAAATGCTAGAAATTAATCAATTCGCTACTTTGCGTGTCACTAAAATAAACAGTTGTCAATATAAATTTCTAAAAATATACATATGTTTATAGAAATTTTAATCGAAAACTCAGTTCCAAAACTAATACGGGACGGGAATCGAACCCGCACCCTTCGCTATCCGGGCGAATGCACTGACCAAGACCAGGGTTCGAGTCCCGTCTGCTGCGTGTCCGTGATGCTAGCGTACACACGATCAATATACGGTTTTTCGTTATGCTATTAAATACTGCGTAAATAGTGCCAAATTATTTTTACTTTTATTGTTAGAGGTACTATATGACACACTATTTATACATATAGCATTGATAACGAGAAAAGTTCATTTTCTATGATAACTATTATGGGTACGCCAGGTTGACGCCAGCTAAGAATGTTTAGTTCAATATTTTTGGTCCTTTAAGAGTATTGATTATGACATTTTGTAAAGCTAGGGCACTATTTGCGAACTATTTTTGTGTGTCAATTTCGTTGCTTAAATATATGCCGTTCTTGGGGACGGCCATGGGTACGCTAGCTTGACGTCATGCTAGCGTACACAGTAAAAATGGTCTTTATTTCATAAAGTAAAGAGGCACTCTTTTTTTACTTTTACGCTAATTTGGCACTATTTACGCAGTATTTAATGGCATAACGCAAAACCGTCTATTGATCGTGTGTACGCTAGCATCACGGACACTCTGCTGCCTGGTCCGCGTGCAATTTTTTCTAGAAATATTTTCTTTAAATTACATATTTGTTTACAATAACTTGTCAAAAAAATCTTTTGGTAAGTAAAAAATTGTGATTACTTGTTTTGAAACAATTAATGATTTTCGAATTGAAAATTTGCGTAATATAGTTTGCAATGTAAACTTTTGGGAAAAGTTTTTTCCTATTGAATACAGGCAGTCCTCGTACTTACGGCATGTTGGGTTCTAGAAATACGCGACGTAAATCGAAACGACGTAAGTCGAGACTTCCCCACGGAGCCGGCCCCACGGACATTGACCTAGCGACAAGTGAATTCTCCTATGCTGGAAATCGAAGCAATTGGCGTATGCTTGAGGAAAAGTGTCAAAACATTGTTCGACGTAACTTGAAACGACGTAAGTCGGGGACTGCCTGTACATTAATAATCCAGTATACTCGCCTGCATGAGGGGGGGCCAGTACCGCGTAAGATTCGTCCTGAAGTGAGCGCTGACCGTCAACAACTTCACGCAGCCGATGGCCGCCGCCTTACGTTCTAACGCGCCGCTCACTTTCTGCAATTCTGGCACCAATACTCGCTCCACGTACATTGCGAACATACTGCAAAAAATAATGCTTAATAATATTAAACATACGAACTTTCACATTTATACTATTAGTAGGATTATATAATATATTTCTTGCTCAATAACACAAAAACTACTGAACGGATTTGGATGAAATTTGGTACGCATATAGTATATGACCTGGATTGAGACATAGGACTTTTTATCCAGGGAAAATGTTAGATTAATGTAAGATTCTCAAACAACTAAAGTTAACGCGGACGAAGTCGCGGGTGGCCACTAGTGATACTATAACTGTGAAAATGTCACGCAAAAACGGATGAATGAATTTGAAAGAAATTTGTTAAACAAGTCTATTACCTAGATTGAGACATAGAATACTTTTCACCCTGGAAATTAGTAATAGGTAAGAAAAAGTGACTAAAAACGCGCATTGCATAGTTAGTAATATAAATCAAATTAGCCTTTCTTTACATTTATAAATCTAGCAGTTTAGGGGGGCGTTCAAGTATTACGTAACGCAATTTGGGGGGAGGGGGGTCTTGTAAAACGTTACGATGCATTACAGGGGCGGGAGAGGGGTTCGATCAACGCGTTACGTAACATTGTTTTTTATTTAAATAAAAAAAACTAGCTAACGAATTGGAAATCTATTGTTTTATATCAACTACCGCAAACGAAATTAAAATAATAACAAAAGTAATTTAGCGACTTTCCTGCAGTTTGAGCTATGTTGGGTAAAAAATGGTCAGTTGGGTGTTACGTAACGTTTATGCGGGGGACGGGGGGGACGGGGGGGGGGGGCGTTACTTCACTTAGTCACGTAATACTTCAACGCTCCCTTACTGCATAAAATAAAATTTAAATTTTCCGTATGTTATATTCTTTAAAACTATCATAATAATAATAATCACTTTATTGCTCAAACAAAGAATACATTTAACAATAATGTGGGCAAAGGCGGTCTTATCGCTAAAAGCGATCTCTTCCAGACAACGTTCGCGGTATAGGTAAGCTAAATGGAAAAGAAGATGTAGTATGCCAGCAGAGTCGATGAGAAATATAAATCGAAATATATAAAACTCAAAGGTGACCGACTGACATAGTGGTCTATCAACGCACAGCTCAAACCACTGGACGGATCGGGCTAAAATTTGGCATGCAGGTAGATGTTATGACGTAGGCATCCGCTAAGAAGGGATTTTGATCAATTCTACCCCCAATGGGATAAAATAGGGAACGAAAGTTTGTATGAAACTTTGTCAATTTTAAACCGATCGGGCTGAGACTTTGCATGCAGGTATAAGAAGAATCATAGATGAATTTCATTGTGTATAATACAAGCCTGAGAACAAAAACTTCAGCTCTACACCGAAGCGAAGCGAGGGCAGGCCGCTAGTATGCAATAAAATTAACTGTCTGTAGATTGCATAAAATGTAGTTATTTTCTTATTTATCAATTGTGACTTATTTTCTTATTTATCAATTGGTTAACTATGATGGAATGTTGATTGTATAAAGTGTTCGTTGAATGCATAAAAATGTTTATAGTGACTTACTTGGCTTGCACCGAGTCAATCAGCTCGATAAGATGATCCGGTCCGAAGTGAGCCGCGTAAAAGCCCAGGAACGCTATCAAGCCTCGCACGTACTTTGTGGTCTTGGAGGAAGACAGCCTTTGGAACAGCAATGTCATGATCTGTTTCAAATATCGCTGCATTGCCGTCCTGTTCATGACAAATAAATGTGTTTATGTTAATATGGATAACTTTGGGCTTTTCAAGCCCACTTGCACAAGTTTCTATCTCAAATTAAAAGCTATAAATAATAAATAAATAAATATTTCCAACACTCACACCAATAAGCCTAGCCCCATAGTAAGCACTAGGCTTGTGTTATAGTATACTAGGGTAACGGATAGAATACATATACTGATACATATGTATATACTACATATTAAACATCCACGTCTGGAGTACAAATGCTCGTAAACATCACACTTACATCTGCCCCCTCCGGAATTTGAAACCGGGACCTCTCGAGTAGGCGACACCATGCAACCCGGCGTACAAACTATTCGGCCACGGAGGTCGTCAGAAGGCTATGTTTAATTATCTAGTCTATTTGACTTTAAACAAAAAACAAAGATGGAATGATGTGTTAAATAGAATTAAGTAACAATAATAAACACCCTAGACACATCACAAGCGTTCGAATTGTGAGTACTTGAACGACACTCTAGCACTTCTTGGTTCACAGTCACGCGCGGACCGTTCAAAAAGTCAACATGGAGCAGAGCTCCGTAAAAGCAACAGCTAGGGTACAGAGTACGCATGTCAGAAGTGAAACGAACTTTCATAATAATAAGTTATAAAAATATATATATTAACATAATTACGTAATTTAAAAATCAATGAAAACAAAATAAAATGTTAAACTACGATTTGTTGATAGAAAAAAAGGTTAAAAATGAAATTTCAGATCCGCGATTTGAACTTGTGATCATTGGCTTGAACGGTGCAACTTATACAATTACGCCACTTAATCGGTGATCGAGATATTTACCGATGAATCACCGATGAAACTAATCGTAACACGTATCCGTAACACATTCGCCAGTTTACCCCCCAAGTCAAGCGTGCCTAAAGAATGCGAATTAAATTGTTATAGCACGTAGTGTCGTTATTTCGACGGGTATCGAATCAATGTTTGTCATGTATGCATAGTAAGTACTCACTCTCCAAATTTGTAAAGCATGGTCTGTACGAGGTAGAATCCTTCGTGGTCGTTGGTCTTCGACGCTATGAGTTTTTGGAACACACCCAGCATGGCATTCTGCAACAATAGAACATTTTATTTAATTTTAAAATCAGCTGCATTGAACTAAGGAAACATATGAGAAATAAGAAAGCTGCAATATTTTCCGCTAAGACAGATGTCACTCATAACATTTAGAAGACGGGTTGATGATTGATGAAAAGGGTCGATGCTGTCGCTTTGTTGCGATAACAATAGAATGAAACAACACGTAACGTAGGCCACGTTACATAGTTTAAATAAAGTTTACTATAGTTAATACCACGTCAAATACATAGTAAATGTTATGATTTTATTTATATTTTTTAAGCATTTAACTGCTAGATGTTTAAATCTAAAGAAAAGTTTACTAGAAAAAAAATCCACGCGGACCAGGCAGCGGACGGGACTCGAACCCTAATACGAACTATAATTGCTATTTCTTCCTTCAAATGTTTAATACTTGAAAAAGTATTCATTTGACATTGTGGGTTACCTACAATGCGAAGAGATGGTGCTGCCTTGCAGCTTAAGGCTAGGAAAATTTCGACGCGGCTAATAGGGCCGTGGTAGCATAATGGTCAGTGCATTCGCCCGGATTGCGAAGGATGCGGGTTCGAGTCCCGTCCGCTGCCTGGTCCGTGTGGATTTTTTTTTCTAGTAAACTTTTCTTTAGATTTAAACATAGTAAATGTGTAAAATTTTGACAAACGATCATTTTTACGGTTAAAGACATTTATTTGCTCAAAAGAATTTACAAAAAATCACTTACGGAGAAAAGACGAAGATATAATTAACAAAAAAAATCATTCCATCGTGTCGACTAACAATTCAAAAATGTAGGTAGATTAAGAAACAAATATAACAATCTCAGTCTCTCCGCATGCGAACAGCGGAGACACATAAAGGCAATGAGACAGTGCAGGATATTGCGGTGCGACCATTCTTATATGGAAATATGTATAATAAAAAAATACGTATCATTTTATCTAACACAGATCAAATATATGTACATATTTTATTATATCGATGTATATATGTTTTGTAAATTCTAGGTTAAGTTCGTCTTGGTAATAAAGGAAACTTATGTTATTACTAAATGTTTTTTGTTACTTTCAAAGTGTTTCAAATTATAGACATAAACCGGTTTTTTTACATACAAAGGTATCGATTCTTGATTAAATACATTAATTATATACTATTAACTTATGCATCTACTGTACTGACCGATATATATTATTTGACGTGATAACGTCTTATAAATCCATAAATGCGGTTATTTATCCACGCACGAAAGTGTGACGTCATGTCACGAGTCACGTTATGTGAAATTTGTGAGTTCAATCCCTTTCCCTCATCAAATAGACACCTAAAAGATCAAATAGCAGGGCATTTTTTTCTAGTAAAATAATAAATGAGGGTTATTTATCCGTGTACAAAGTACAGGACGCACACACTGACACTGATACACTACTTCTATAATTATGATTAAGATGAAATTATTTTGTATTGACACAGTAACAATATAATATTTTGTAAATATTGTTACATAATTATTATTAACGCTGTGAAGTTTTTTCCCCAGTTTTTCTCCATAGGTAAAATATGTCCTTAAGGGTAGTGGTAGGGAAAAAAATATGGACAATTCAAAAGAGTTGTATTTTACATCCAATTTGAATAAAGATCTTCAGTGTCTCTGTCACTTACCAGAGTCTGAGGCTGCTGGACTAGATTCGCTCAGGCAGCAGTGAGCGCGATATATATATCGTAGCTCATATATGTACGTGCCTCTGCCGCTCATATATATGTGTGTGTCGGTCACCAGCGTGGGAGGCTATATTACAGGCCGTGCTAGATTTTTATTACAAAGAGTATTACGAAGTTCAGGATTACTTGAATGGTCGAAGCGTCTGGCAATTGATTTCACTTATAGACGGGAGCTGATACTACAATTCAATTGTACTTACCTATATATATTTGTAACAAATAATTACTGTTCATTAAATTAATATCACTACTTCTGTGAAACGCTGATGAGTTTGCGCCCGTTCTTCTTATCAGCTAAAAGATATGGTGGCGGTAGGAAAAACATTGGTATAAAGAACATTTTATTTTCATCTAATTTCACTCACCAACGTCTGAGGCTGCTGCACTAAATTCGATCTGGCAGCAGTGAGAGCGCACAATAGACGAACTAAAGGTCGCACATTAGCGCTCCGCTGCCATAAAGGGGGCGCCAGGAGACAAGGCAATAGGGCTCCGTAGGCGTCGCCGTCGCCGCCCGCGTTGTCCCCGCCCAAACCGCGCAATTCCAGCAGAAGGGATAGCATTTGGAACACGTAGGGCATGAATTCTGCGGAAATTTACTGACGATTTATTTACTCTATTCAAATTCTTTTGAGACAATAAAGTAAGCAAATAAACCAATGGTTGTAAATAATTAATTTTGCGCGAATAAAGATGGCTGGTGTGACCAGAAGACTGATTACAAAATTTCACATATCAACGTAAATTATTTGCTTTATCACAACTTTGATGAAAATACAAGGAATGAGTAAAAAAGTAAATTAGTTCAAAACGTACCTAATCGTAATACAACATTTTTAGATGAAAAATTTGTTTCGAAAATTTGACAGAAATTGTACATACCTTGGACATCGTTCTGTAGAATCTCTTGGAATATCGGAAACAGGGCATCTTCGAAAGCGGAAATCGCATTCGGATTGGATTTAGTCACCAATCTAAACAAAAAAAAAACATTCAATTTGGCAATTGTCATGCATAAAAATTGAATGAAATCAATGTCCGAATATTTTTATTTACCATTTGCAACTAAATTTTGGAATCAGTTTAAATATGGTTTTGTTGTAATTAAAATTATGTCAACACATAATGGTGTTTTTTTATATTAAGCAACTTTACTTTAGGCGCAGTAATTCTATTAAATCTACAAACCGAAACACACCAATCTAAATTCTTATTTTTAAATAAATTAAAATGTATACATTTAAAAATACTAGGAAAAAAACTCTAGTGAGATTGTTTTAAATGCAACTATGATGTACTCACGACACGGCCAAGGAAAGTGTTTCAAACAAATAGTGGTTGAAGTGGGGCTTGCTTGGGTTCTTGGCTACTACAGAAAGCATATGGGCTAGCTTCGGTAGGGCTTCACCTAAATAGGGCAAAGCAGTCTCTTGCAAACAGGACAGTGTGCGCAGGATGGCTGAAAAGAAAAGCCATAATAAGTACGCAAGTTTGGAACAGCTAAGGTGTCACAAACACTCAAGACTTCTTTATTGCATTACCCACAATGCACCATAAAGATATTAGCATATATCCATATACGATCCATATCAAATAATCCCATCTGAAATTTGGACTGAATAATTTTTTTTCTAGTAAAATTTACTTTAGATTAAAAAATCTAGCAGTTAAATGCTTCAAAATATAGTACACAACAATATTCTAATTATGTAAATTAATAATTCGATAAGTACAATTATTATAGAAATTCTAAAACCAACAGAAAAAAGGCATATTTTTTTTTTCAGAAAAAAACTAAGAAACTTTCAATTATGTAGTAAGTAAACTTACATCTCTTTTTACCCAATAGGTAGCGCTGTTGGCGGCGCTGCTTTTGAAGTGAAACTTCTTTAGGCACGCTTGACTTAGGGGGTAAACTGGCGAATGTGTGACGATATTTGCGTTATGTGGCGTCACCGGTAAACAATGAACAATAGGGTATTTGACAGTATTAAAAATAAAGTGCCAATTGTTAGCATCTGTATTTAGAATGCATATTGGCAGGAGTTTTTACTATTATTACAGAAGAATTATTCATAATTTTACTAAAAACCCACGATAAAGATAATAGGTTTCTTGCCTTTTGTCACGTGACCCAAAACGTTTGGTGGAGCCTAAAATTACGTCACACGCAAGTAAACTTCCGGATAAAGTACCATTAGATTGTATGGTTTGACGTTTTAATGACAGTCGTGTGACCGTCGTCACACACCATTGAGACGCCATATTGTCCAGAGATACGTTTTTCGCGGCAACTTGAAAATAGAGTTTTTGATTTAGTTTTTTTATCGAAATACACAACATAATTATGAATATCCACTTTTTATTGACTCTATAAACATTAGGAAATAACGTGTGATCGTTTTCTAAAACTTGTCAAATACCCTATACCCGTCACAAAATACATGAATCTAGTGTTTGGTGGGTGATAACGGACCCAGCGCGGATTGGTGGGTGATAATGGACGCAGTGCGGATTGGAGGGTGATAATGGACCCAGGATTGGTGGTTTTTTTCTATCAACAATTCTTCAGTTTAAGTTTATGATTTTCAGATCATTGGAGCTAAAGAAGTTTCACTTCAGTCATGTGGTCATAAGCACACGCACTTTTTTTTTATTGTTTGACTCATTCTATCTTCGCTATTTAACGAATAAACAACTTACCTTTCATGACATACTCGTTGTGCTTCGCGGGGTCGTTCGCGTCCAGCGTTGCCAATAAGGACGATAATAGCGTAGCAGCGTGAGGTTGTAACGCCGCAGAGGGCACTATACCACCCACCATCAACTTCTCTATGGCACACGCGGCATACGTGCAGACCACACCGCGGGCCGGCACGTGTTGAATCTGACGATACAATCATAATTTGTTACGAATACTCAGGACACAAATCTATGCTAGAAATCAATTTAGCCGCCGATCAGCTTATCTATACATATAATAAAATGGTAGGAGAGTCAAAACTGTACATTGAATATTTTTTTAAAAGAATACTCGGGTTGTAATTTTTTGTGTCTCTGTCTGTATGTATGTCCGAGATACACTTAAAAAGTACTCCATGGATTTACTTCATATTTGGCACGAATATTATTAAGAAGTCGCGTCAACATATAGGCTACATATTATCACGCTATCACCTACGGGGAAGTGAACCTTTAATCTAACTAACTCCACGCGTACGAAGTCGCGGGCAGCCGCTAGTTTATATAATAAAGTGACGATCTCTATGGCCGAGTGGTTTCATGGTGTCGCAGATGTTTGTGTGATGAATACGAGCATTTGTTCTCCAGTCATGGATGTTCTTTATGTATTTTTATATACATATAGAACATACATATATATAAAAAACTACGGACCAGCCTTTAGAAGTTTGCGATACGAAAAATATCACTCGCCAACCACACGGCCCGTATGCAGTGATACCGCATAAGCTTGCACGCTCTCAAATGTCGCGATACAAGTTTGCACTTAATTTGTAAATAACAAGAGATCTGTGCAGGGGCCTTCCTTATAGATGTAATAGAGATTGGGCCAAAACCCATTACGCGGGCTCTGTGATGATTGGACTACAGATGCAGCCGGAACCCAACGGCTTAATCATATCGTTGATTCAATGTAATCTTAATTTTAGCTTGAATACAAGCTTTTTATGTAATGATAATGACAGTTTTTAGAGAAGGATGGTAATAATAACTTACCAATAGGGGCAAGGCGTTTATAAGCAGATCTTTGGGTAGTAGCGACCGGAAGGTCATCAGGTATTTGATGGCGTCCGCCTTTAGAACCGGCAACTCGTTTACTGAAACAAAATTCATAAATACATTCATACAAGTCTAGAATCACTATTAACCTTAGTTTGAAGACGTAGGGTATATTATATATCTTTGATTTCTTTATCTTGCACCGGGCTTGCAAGATTTTAGTTGAACAACTGTTACATTACATGCGATTTCAACCATCTGAACAGACTTTCCATAAAATTTAAGCAATCAAATTGAAGAAAAGCAATTGTGCTATAAAAGTTGATCAATTTAAATCGCCTTGTGTGAACCCGGTAATAATGGTGTAGGAGTACACGATTCTGTTTTTATATCAAGGAATCATGAGAAATGTTTCCGACAAATATCAACTTAATTCAGGCGAGTCAAGGTGCAGTTTAGATCACCGACTGGCCGCTGCAGCTCAAGTATCGCGTGATGGGCCGGGAACTGCGCGACGTCCATTAGAGGCGAGGCGCCGATTTAATATCAGCTCTTTAAAAATCTTCATCCATTTCCATCTCATAACTATGACTTCTTTTTTCATGTTTGAGTATTGTTTTCTATGTTAATTGTGTAGGAGCAAATAATTATGCTTTCATTTCCAAGAAATGAAAAGAAATCTTTCAGACAAATATAGTCTTTATTCCGACAAGTCAAGGCGTAGTTTAGCTCATATTCCGGCCGCCGCAGCTCGCGATTCGTAGAACTTGCGCGCGGGTAATAGCCATAGAGGTATAAGAATAGAATAGGGGAGATACAGACTCTATAACAAGTGGAAGTGTCCCTCTAATAGAAAGAGAAAGAAGATGAAGAACCGCTAGCTTCCTCCCTCTTCCCTCTCTAATCGCGCATGCGCATTGGCAATCGTAAGCATCTTACTATTTCGATGTAATGCTTGGACCAACTATTGTACAGACGACTGCGCATGCGTTACAAGAGAGAGAGAGATAGCTAGCGGTCTCTCATCTTCTTTCTCTTTCTACTAGACGGACACTTTTACCCACTCTATTCTTATACCTCTATGGTCATAGCTGTTTGTTTTGCTCTTGTACCGCACAGTCATATGAACTTAGCCTAAGTCAATGTTGGCAATCTTAGCGCGACCGCCGAGCGTAAGTATGCAAAGTGAAGTACATACATGAGTGACGTCACCAGGTAAATAGCCGCGTCTTCACCGCGCCACAAATATAACTTCTTTTCTAAATCCATTTGCATCTCTTTACTATGAATTCTTTTTTAACGTTTGGATGTTATTTTCTATACTATTAGTGTATGAGCACATGATTATGCTTTTATTTCCAGTTCAGTCTACAATATCAGTTGTTTACTGATTTAAATCTATTTCTATCTCATAAGTATGAATTATTTTCTAACGTTTGGATGTTTAGATTAAAACATAAAGAAGAAACGGTACGCTCATACAAGCATCAAATAAAATATGCTCCGACTCAACTACATAACTCTCACACGCACACGTCTGTAAATAATAATCATTCAATCGAGCGAGCGAGACAGAAATGCATGCTTCAACGCAGCGCGAGCGAATTGGCGAGTCTGCACGGCTGAGCTTTTGAAGATTGTTGTCGTTTTCTTGATAACTAAAATAGGTAAATAACATTCAAGACAAACCGTGGTTCTGAAAAAAATATATATTTTTACAGTTTTACGAATGAAAGGTGTTGCCTAAACATTTGTTATTTGATTTTGAACTACTTGTGTTCTTTATAAAAGCATCGAAGGCGTTGTTGTATCTTTATAACACTGAATATACGCAATATCGTTATATTGAGTGCACATGCAGCGTGTTTGAATGTCCAATTGTAACTAAAGCGAATTGTGGCCATGCACCGCAATTTGAGCGGATCACTTTAGAGCCGCGAGTGCCGTATCTTCCTTTTTATTTTAATCTAAGTTCGAATGTTATTTTCTATCTAAATGGAGTAGGAAAACACGATAATGTCTTTATTTCCTAGTCGAGTCAAGGTATAGTTTAGCTCACCGTCCGGCCGCTGCAGCTCTGGTATCGCGTGATTGGCCGCGAACTGCGCGAGGTCTACAAGAGGCGAGGCGCGAGTGACGCCCGCCGCCTGAGTGGAGCCGCGGGACGCGAGTGACGTCACCAGGTACATCGCCGCGTCTTTACCACGCCACGCGTTCGCCCCGCCTTCGGTGTACTTCTGCAGCATCAGCTGATAAACGAAATAACAGTTAGTATTCATTAATTTCTTTAATAGGAGACATAATAACAAGGCCGAACAGAATGTGTTAACATATTACAAACAATATAAATGACACAACTGCATCATCTATCTGTGTCTCCCTATTACTGAATCTCGCAAATTTTACGTTTAATTTGTTTTGTCAAATGGAGTTTTCATCATCATACGATAGACTACGATAGAGCCACAACTTAAATAATTATTTAAATTTTATTTCCACCACCAAGGCAACCAAACAAACAGTACCTAAATAATTAAAATAAGATACAGATGGAATCTTATTTCCTATCTTTCGTTCCTACTTTCTACCCTTCCTTCCTTTCTTCTTCTATCCTTAGCTTATTGTATCCTAATAATAATGAAAAGTTTGTATGGACGAAAAGGTTTTGGATGACGAATTTTGCATAAATATAGTTTTACATCTATATATATATATATATATATATATATATATATATATATATATATATATATATATACATACAGGATAATTTTGTCATCCCGGAAAGACGTTAAGTTCCTGTGGGATTCCCAAAACCTAGCTAAAAGTACACACCTGCGCGTATTGTCGAAGATGTGCATGATCTTGTATTCGTACTGCTGATGTTTGTCACTCTTTAATTCTAAACCGGCTGAAGGATTTGCAAGACGAATTTCGCATAAATATAGTTACTCATTTACACACAAGATAATTTTGTCATCCCGGAAAGACGTTAGGTTCCTGTGGGAATCTCAAAACCTAACTAAAAGAACACACCTGCACGTATTGTCCGAAGATGGGCATGATTTTGCGTTCGTACTGCTGATGCCTGTCACTATTTCATTCTAAACCGGCTGAAGGTTTAAAATGACAAATTTCGCATAAATATAGTTTATCATTGATACACAGGATAATTTTGTCATCCAGGAAAGACGTTAGGTTCCTGTGGAATTCTCAAAAAATTAACTAAAAGTATACACCTGCACGTATTGTTGTCCGAAGATGTGCATGATCCTGTGTACTGCTGATGTCTGTCACTCTTTAATTCTACACGGGCTGAAGGATTTGCAAGACGAATTTAGCAAAAAAAATGTTTTTTTTATTGACACACAGGATAATTTTGTCATCGCGGAAATAAGTCAGGTTCAAAGTTTGTATGGACGAAAAGGTTTTGGATGACGAATTTTGCATAAATATAGTTTTACATCTATATATATATGCAGGATAATTTTGTCGTCCCGGAAAGACGTTAGGTTCCTGTGGGATTCTCAAAACCTACTAAAAGTACACACCTGCACGTATTGTCCGAAGATGTGCATGATCTTGTGTTCGTACTGCTGCGCCAGGGACCGCACCAGGTCGCAGGCGGCGCGTCTCCTCGTGTCCACGTCCGAGCCCTCAATGTCTCTGCGGACGTACTCTTCGGGGTTGTCTTCGAACAACTCCATATCCGATTCTACGGGCAAAATCATCTATACATAAAATGGTAGGAAAGTCAAAACTGTACATTGAAGATTTTTTAAAAAGAATACTTGGGGTGTGATCTACAATCAAAACGCCAAAAATATAGTTTTTAGAATTTTTGTCTGTTTTTCTGCTAGTCTGTATGTATGTCCGGGATAAACTCAAAAAGTACTGCATGGATTTACTTCAAATTTGGCACGAATATTATTAAGAAGTCGGGTCAACATATAGGCTACATATTATCACGCTATCACCTACGGGGAACGAGCAGTGAACCTTTATTTCTAACTAACTAGACACGTACGAAGTCGCGGTCGGCCACTAGTAATTAATTAATAAATAAATATTTTTGACACCTAGCACCAAGGATAGCTCTATAGGCTTGTTATGGGATACTAGGGTAACGCTTACAATACATATACTGATACATAATATAAGTACATTCAGAAATACATATTAAACATCCATGATTTGAGTACGAATGCTCGTTCACACAAACATCTGCCCCCTCCGGGATTAGAGCCCGGAGTACCTACCTCTCGAGTAGGCGACACCTTGAAACCCGGCGTACAAATCACTCGGCCATGAAGTTCGTAATAATTGACAAAAAACTATCCTTATGTCCTTTCCCGGAACTCAAACTATCTTTATACCCAATTTAAACTCAATCAGTTCAGCGTTTTATAACTTACCTCTGAACTCCATGTTTGGTATGACGACTTTCTCACAAATGCTGCTGAGTGTAGCCGGGTCCTCGAATAAGCTTTTGTAACTGTTCTTTTCAGCTATCTTCGCCAAAAACGTGAGCGCGTTAGACACTAGCTAATAGAAAAGAAACATTTTCATAAAATTGTACAGTGAAAGCAGTGGGCCCTAGATACACCAACACGAACAAAAACGTGCCCTAAATCTGTCCAAAAGGTACAAAGGATGATCCACGGAGCTCCGTAAGATGATCGCGTTGTAAAAAACAATATAAGGCATGATTTAAACATTAAAAGTCCCCTTTAATGCATAGTTTATAAGGTCTTAATTAAAACGCATGTGTCAAAGAGTCAAACTTTTCGACTTATTGCTATATGCGGAAGAATATAGACCTTATATCTATGACTTTGAGCGCAATTCTGAAAACGCTTCTTTTATTTAGCAATTTAGCAGGTACGGACCGCGAGGAAAAGAGACGGCTATATTACCGACCATGTATTTGAATATCACAAATATTTTCTATTAAATCAGTTTATATTATTTGGTATTAGAACATTTTTTTCTTCAAATGCGTTAAATTAGCAAACATTGATTAGATACCTATCGAAAAAACTACATTTTACATACGATAAGTAATTTTTTCGCATTTTTTACGGAGCTCTTCGGCAACTTGACTTTTCAACGGTCCGCGCGTGACTGTGAACCAATCAAGAAGTGCTTGAGTGGTGTTCAAGCACTTCTTGATTGGGACACGTTTTGAGCGCACGCGGTGTATCTACAGTATTTAATATCGTTGCTTAAAGGTTAAAAAATAAAGGTTTTACAATATCCAAATTAATTTATGCCGGAATAATTTTAGGGACTGACTCAATATACAAGTTTGAATTCAAACTATGATAACTCCTAAACTATCATATAGAACGCTAATATTTACTAATTACGAATGGTAGAATGGTAAAAGTAACAAAACATTACCATTATTGTTATTGATAAACAAGGAGCAAGCTTAGACTTGTTACACTGTGTTTTGTTCATGTCTTTCAAATTTCATTTGTTATTCAATAAACAGAGGCAAAACATGAAGTAACTAATCTAAGTGTAGTCCTCGTTTTTTAATAGGGGGAAAATGATCATTTTTAATTTAAAACTTTTAACACCCTTGGTGGGTGATCTTTAATAAAATTCGAAGTAAATCTTAGATTTGCATATCGGAAAATAAACATAACATAGACAACGTATTAACGCTACAGAAAATATAAGTACAAATATAAACTCCAAAACAAGAAATGTTAGGGTTGGACAACCCTTATCACTTAGGGGCATGAAAAATAGATATTAGACGATTCTCAGACCTACTGAACATGCAAATCAAATGTCGTAAAAAAATATACAGTCGAACATAAAACTTACTCCTTTTTTGAAGTTGGTTAAAAATCGGTCAAGCTGTTTCGGAGGAGTATGGTAACTAACATTGTGACACGAGAAATTTATATATAAGATATTCCAAAATCTTTCATTTACCAACTAATAGTGATAAATCCTTAGATAATCTATTTAAACACAAAAGATTATCCTACAACACAGATTTTGTTTAATTTATACATTCACTAACAGTGTCATAATTAGATGTTAAGCCTGCGAATTAGTGCGGAGTAGCACAGTCTACACTGCCGTTTTGAAACCAAGTGCATACATAAACGACCAAATCTTTTATTTACCAACTCATATTGTAAAATATTTTGATATTCGCGTAAATCTTTGAAACTAATATTTATTGCTTCATATTGATAGTGCGATTCAAATAAGAATAGGAAAGCCAATGACCTCCATTTGTCAAATGTCCTTGAAAAGCACGGTTTGCAAAAAAATATTGTATCCCTTTTTTAAATTTAATTCTAGACAAAAAAACAAATAATAACAAATAATGATAATTAATATTCGTTGATATTTTTTTTCCATTTATTGAGCTTTGGCTATGAATGGATGATAACCTAAATCGTCAACCAAATGTCACTTTCAGCTGCGTTCAGAAACTCGATTTAAAACTTTCGTTTACATAAAGGATGCATGTTCGTATATGTGACCTAGTAATAGTGCATGATTATTCATAACTACCCCGGCGGTAATGCAGAGATGAGCGGTATTGAAGAGCTACATTCTGAATAATGTTTTTTCTCACACAGTCTTAATAAATAAATATTATTTAAAATCGTTTTTTTTTCTTAATCTTAGTAAATAAATTATATGAAAAAACTGATGTTTTTTCTCGCTTAATCTTAGTAAATAAGTTTTATTAAATAATAACTTTTTTTGCTCGCTCCACCTATTTGGTTTGAATTGACAGTAATGATGTCACAATATGGGGCCCAGTCGGTCCTATTCTTAGTTGAATCGCATTATACATTGACTTACCGCGTCATATTTAGACTGGGAATTGGTGGAGAGTAGCACAGTCCACACAGCCGTTACGAAACCAGGTGCGTACGGAACGAACTCCTCTTCGTACTTGAGCGCGTATAACGCAGCGCACTCGCATACTTCAGTGCGTAACTGTTCCAAAACACCTGGCTTATCTTCATCGCCCTTTTGTACAAACAAAAAAACAAGTTAATAAGCTATCATAACAAACTGTCCAGGAATCAGACGGGATGCGAACCCGCATCTTAAAATACGGGAGCATGGGGGACAGAGTAATACTTATAGTTATATTTTCATTTTTAATCATTCAACTGCTAATTGTTAAAATCTAAAGAAAAAATTACACGCGGTCCAGGCAGCAGACGGGACTCGAACCCGCACCCTCCGCTACCCGGGCCAAAGCACTGAGCACTATAAAATTTTCTTTACATTAAAAGAGTAATACTTCTCGTGATTTCATTGCCCTGCTCGCCCACACCACGAAATGCCGCTACCTATATAAGGAAAGGAATCGACTCATGATATTCTCTCCCTCTCGCACATTACGTGTCTTGTATTTCATTTTGTTAGAGTTCTAGCATTTGAATAATATACTGTGCAAGTTCTTGAAACAAAATAATATAAAACTTTAACTGTACTACATCAACAAAATCCCTCCTCTTACCCTATTCATACATATTAAATGCATGGGTGCCTGGTATCACAAATGTCTGTTTAAGTGTTGTTACAGATACTCAACGAGTCTGCATTCGACGTACTGCACAACATCAACAAAACTGTACAGGCTCAACATATAACTTGTCTCCTTTTACCCAGACATTGGCAGAATCGTCACGTAATGCGACGCAGCCATAATCGCCAAAAATTGAATTGAATTTAGCATTTGAAAGCAGCAAACACTGGCCTAACTCAATTTGTGCGTGCCAGGCTCGTTTCGCTCGATTTGAATTCATACAAAGCAAGCGTTAAGAGTTCCGCGCGGGCCAGTATGTATTGGTCAGTTCATCCACCCAGATAGCGGAGAGTGCGGATTCGAGCCCCGTCTGCTTCCTGGCCCGCTTGTAACCTTTTCTAGTCATTTTTTCTTTAGATTTAAACATCTAGCAGTTTATGGTCAGAATAAGAATATGATAATTAATTCACCACTATGAAATGAAGTTTGCAAAGTTTAGAGGTTAATTTTGATCATTATATCATGTCACCACATCACATGGCTATTTGTAAATTTGACAGCAGTCTCTAGTTTCAATTCCCTATAAATACATGAAAAGCATCAGGTTATTATTACAATACTTACATCATTTTCCAAGCACGCCACCTTGACTTGCAGCAAGTTTAGAAGATTAGGCATCCATATGGGCATATTGTCCTCGAAGAACTCGGGCAGGTCCTGATAGTTCAGCGAGTAGAAGACTTTGCAGATGAGAACCAATGATCCGTATATGACGTGGAGAGCTTGAGGGTTGTCCGCGTGTTTGTTTGTTAGATCAATTGTGGCCTATAAAGGAAGAAAGTTTAAATTGTTTTAAACTTTCATGGTTACTAACATTGAATGAATGATTTGAATGAATGAATGTTTTATTTATTTCTCTCACAAAGTCACAAAGTAACATTATAATTACAAAAGGGTATTGAATTACAGTAACGGTAAAACAATGCAGTTCTTTGAGAGAGCTGGAGATTGTACTAGGTTACAAAACCTGTGTTACGACCCCCAGGCTCAAAACCTCTTAAAACCTGTTTGCTTGCCAATATATTCTTTTGCATAATACATTTTTTATTGTGATCTACCCTAGATTATAAGCGAGAGTACAATATGTAAATGTTACATTGAATGTTACAGAACCATATTGAATTAATAACAAAAAGCAAAAGAAAGAAAAAAACCAAGATCGTTACCGCCATTTATCAGGAAATGCGGGTTCACTGGATAACGCTTATATTTATATTTAAAAACAAGCAAGTGTGTGTTGTGTTTGTGCGTGTGTGTGTGTGTGTGTGTGTGTGTGTGTGTGTTTGTGTGTGCATGCGCGTGTGTATTTATCTAGTATGAGAAAAACAGCCTACCTTATATTATACAATAATAAAATAGTGATTGTTTGTGGAATCGTAATCATACATATTTATTTTATATTACGTACTTTTTATAATTACGTATTTTACGAATTAAATAGCAGTTTTTAATATTTTTTCTGTTGTGTCATAATCTAGTTTAAGTAGCCAATCTGAGACTACTCTCTTCATTTTCGACATCTGCATATGGTGGATTTTGAGAATTTTGTTAATTTTATTGTACAGGTAGCAATGAAGGAAAAAATAATTTCGCTTGGCAAAGCTAGTGCGTACTAAAGGACAGACTTGATGTTTTCGTCGCGTATCAGAGATATCTGTTCGGTCATACGGCGTATGTCGATGCGTTGTTTCAATAAGTTTTAATACGAACAGTTGGCGTATTGAAAGGACCTGGCAGACGGAATAAAGCTGGATTGTCGGGAAACGGTAGGGCAGATTCATTATAGCTATTAACGGGATTGTTACCATGTACCTTGTTTTTTATGAATCTCCGATATTTCGGCACTGTTGCAAGCGCCAAGATCACGGAGTAACTCCAAATAATAATAAAAAATATCGGAGACTCATAAAAAACAAGGTACATGGTAACAATCCCGTTAATAGCTATAATGAAGAAAGTTTAGTTTCAATTCTATATTAAAATAAATTATGATTTCAATCTTTTTTTATTGTCAGATTATAGAAAGTATTTTGCAGTTGTTGATCCTACTAATGTTATAAATGTGGAACTTTGTATGTTTATTACTCAATCACACAAAATTACTCAACGGATTTGAATGAAATTTGGTACATATATAGTTCATGACCTGGATTGAGTAGGTTACTTTTTATCCTGCAAAATGTTGGGTTCCTGTGAGTATAAAAAAAAATAAAGTTAAGGCGGACGAAGTCGCGGGCGGCTGCTAGTTCTTTATAAAGATAAAGATTTTATTAAGCTTAGGTAATTACTATAATGATTGAGGATGTTGGGCAGCTGTGCTTCTGGCTTCAAGGTATAGAGAGTGCGGTCAGGTTAGGAAAAGGACATGAGACACAGACATGCTAATGAGGCCACCATGCAGTTCTAACTGTCAAGGCACACCTTGACAGTTAGAACTGCATGGTGGCCGCTTACAAAATCCTACTATCCTACATATTTTAAATGTGAAAGTTAGTATGTTTGTAACTCAATCACACTGAAACTGCTGAATGGATTTGGTGAAATTTAACAAATAGATATCTTCTAACCTGGTATAGATACTTTGGAGACATAGGATATTTTTTATCCCGCTAACATGTAAAGTAACCTGAGAAAATTTCAAAAAACTTAAATATAACGCGAACTTAATCGAGAGCGGCCATTGGGAATTATATAAATCTTTATGGCAAAGTCAAACCAACTTACTACAAACAAGTCCGTCAGAGGTTTGGCAAAATTTTCCAAGACATGTTTAATTTCCTCCCAAAGTTTTTGTGACTTGAATTCGTATCTGTACCGCTTGAATAGTGAATGTGCTGTTCTTAAAATTCCATTGATGACGTGAAAATCGCCTAGAAAAAATAAAAATATTACCAAAAGATTTTGTCAAGCTTAGCATACATAAAAAAGTATAGTAGTTCTGTCACCCTATTTAGTAACTGTCAAGCAGCATATCATTAGCATCAGTCTATTAATGTCCCCACTGCTAAGGTCGCGAGCTTCGCTATGGATGTAATATGGAGATTGGGCCATGACCCATCATGCGAGCTCAGTGCGAATTTGTCGATGCTAATGATTGCAGATGTAGCCAGACCCAACGGCTTAATGTGCCTTCCATATCACAGAACAGCTTGAGATAGTACATTTTTTATCACCCACCCTATGACCAACCACTGCGAAAGCTGCAACAAACACACAGCCGAACATGGTTATCACTTGCACCATCGAGCTCCGCAAGCAGCATATGGTCATTGTCAAACCAATATCTCCTGTGCCAAAAATATAACTCTACGACATACCTAATGGGAACGTGTTCTAAGGTGAGGGGTTGCTTCCACAGACTGGCGCAAGACATAGCAGAAAATTATATTTTTGACAATATTGTCTGATGCTCATTCACATATATATATATTTTTTGTAAGCAACCTCTGTTCACTTATACACATACCTTCAGTGAAATAATATAAAGATCCAATCTAGGTTGGATCATAAGATCCAAATCTCAAGGGGGTGGATTTATATCCCTTTATGGATATAAATCCACCACCTAGCAATTAACAGTCCAATACCCTTCCAGTGATGGTTTTAAGGTAGGTCTGACTTTGCTTATTAACTTAATATCTTACATAATTTAAATATTGAAAAAAATTCTTTCCTAATTCACTTTTTTTACATGGTTGAATGAATCTTGATGCTTAAAAGTCCTGTTTATAATAGTCAAACTAATATTTTCTAGACAATTTTTTTTAAATAAACAATAATAAGCATTATTACCAGTAGCAAATTTTTCCACCATTTCTGGAATTAGGTTGGGCCATTTTTCTGGAAAGTCATGTTTGCCAATGATGGACATAGCATCACTGAATTGTCGCTGTATTGATTCAGGTGACTTCAACATTAGGGACACTATAAGAACTTTAATGGTGTTTCGATCTGATATATGTATCCTGTCTGATCCATCTTCATCCTGGAAAGAATTATCAGAAGTAAGAGCTTCAAATTCTTTTATTTGTATTAAAAAAAAATATGGGTAAAACTGTACTTTCTGGGCCCAAGAATTGACACCACTATTTTTTGATGAAAAGGTCTCTGTAAATGAAGTCTCTATGCAGTCTTCAGACCTGCATGCTGCAGGTAGTTTTGAAAAAATAATCAAGTCATATATTATACTATCACTTGGTTTAATAATGTGGTTAACAGAAATCTTTGTAATAAAAAAAAATGTGAAGTTCACATCATCCAACACAATTGTGAAGTTTCTAAATTTGGGCCCAAAAAGTACAGTATACATAGTACAGTTGTACATGATTATTATAATTCAGAGATCCACTATGTATGCACAGTACAGAGCAAGATCAGCATGTCTGACAACATTTAACAACTGCAGAGCCATCCTAGCATTTCTACATTTTTATTACCGTTTTTCTAAATCTAAGATATACACTCAGGGTATAGTTACCAACTTTTTTTCTAACAACTATAGTATTTTCGAAACTGTTATGTCTAAAAATAAAGCAGAAGGCTAAAACTGGGAAAACATATAATGGTGCCAATTCTGGCGTGATTCTCTAAACTTATAACTAAATTTAAGGTCAGTCTCACCATTTCATTCTGTATAGAGAAGGACAAGGATGCACTGTTGTCAAATTTAAGTTTAGCTTTAGAGAATCAAGCCAGAATCGACATCAGTATGTGGTTAAAATATTTACTTTATTATTTAATATGAATATATTTTTGCTGCTATATGCCTTAATAATTAAGTTTTATTTTTAAGAAAGCTTTACTGGCAAGTCTGCTTTAAGCAAAATATAGTAGGTTCGCCTACTGCTAATATAGTAGGATACTATACTATATAGTAGCGTTGACAACCCTTACTCAGGGGTACATCTACCTAGCCATCCAATTATTTTTACACAAACATGGTCACTTTGATGACACAGAAAAATTACAATTTATGTCAACAAAGATCTGTATGTAGAAACAAAATTGGATTATCTTGTCTTGTTTATGCATTGAATCTGTTGTAACTCTGTTTTGTGTACTGATCAAATAAATAAATAACATAGGAGTACTTTACAGACACATCATTAAAGACACTTTTGTTGTAGTAATATAACCTAAATCAATATCACAATTCGCAAGTACATTTTCTCAGGTAATTCAAAATTCACAGTATATAAATCTATAAATGACTACCATAGATTAGTTAAAATAAATCAGCGACTTACAACAGCCCAGTTCCTTTTTATGTAGTTCTTAAATGCTATAGCAGCCGCAACCCTAATGGTCATATCAACACCATCCTTGTCAATGAGGTGAAGCAATAAGACTGGATAATTCTGGTTAACCTCGACTCCTTCTAAAAACTTTTCAGCTAAAAATGAAAGGCAAATTAATAACAAATGTTCTCAATTATTGTGCAAGTACTCTTACAAATAACAATATCACTGAAGTCATTGTGGTCTGGGGATTGTGACTGTATTTTGCTTGCCATGGCATCAGATGACAATATGAACCCTATGTGTTTTTAAGAGTGACCTTGGTCAGTATTTTATATATTCAGCAAAGCGCATGGTAATGTGATAAGAGCCAATAATCTGGTCTTCTGTAAGTTTATCTACTATCTAGATGTTGTTGTAGAGTAGGGCCTTTAGTAAACTATCTATACGAGATATATTACGCAAAACTTAGATTTAGTTTCATAGTAAGTAATCTTCATGCACGCAGTGACAAGAATATTAAATTAATTAAAAGTAAAACTATCGTTTCTGCAAATACATCTAACTTATGCTCCTTCGATTTCCTATAACAAAATCGAGTTAAGTATGTGTGTAGCAATAGTGTGAGTAAAATAAAAGCATTTCACACGCGGTCATCATGTTAACATTAGCAACTTACCGGGTCTTCGAACGTTCGGATCAGGATTCAAAGTTTGTTGTAGATAGTTAGCGAGAGTTACTAAATTGTCGTCTGTAACCTCCATTTTCCCTGATAGAGCACAATTACAAAATTCCTACACTAATAGCGGCGACAACACAATTTATAAAATCACGCACGACTCAAAAGATTGTTTTGATTTTGACAAATTCAAAAATCTTCTTCTTTTTCTTTTTTTATGGCATGCACGGATTGTGCGTTCAGCCAGTGTCAAGTAAAAAATTCAAAAATCCTTCGTCGTTTTTCATAAATCAACGTCCGTTGTTCATAAATTCTTTGGCTAAGAAGGCGTTTTAAAAAAATCGTGTTTGTAGAATAATAGTCTGTCCTTGACATGCTTTATAAAGAATGAATAGGACAGACTGATGCCCAGTGCACAAACAGCAAACACATATCCAAGTGAAGGGCCTGCATAATATCGTAATGCAAATAATAAGGGGAGAAACATATTACGCATGTCCTGTCATGTCGTGAAGCGCCAGAAGCACATCGGTTTATCCCCACTCTAACACTAGAGGTGTAAAAGTAACGAAAAAAAGCGTACGTATGTATTCGTTACTTTAATAATTAGTACTCGTTACTATAGTATCGTTACGTTACTCGTTACTTCTCATAAAAAAAATCGGTTTTACTATTTTAAAATTTTTAACCGTGAGCTTATGTTATATCACAATAACATCGCAATCCATTATTCATCAATTATAATGATAAAGCAACAAATAAGTATCGAAAATTATTGTATTTATAATAATACTTAAATAGCATTCTAACGATAAATCAACATAAATATAGTTTTGCTTAGAATGAAATTAAACATAACGAAAGAAAGAACTACAACAAAAATCTTTTGTTCTCAAAATAAAATTATAAAAAAATAAAAATATTTTAAACGAAATCTATCAAGTTGGCTTTTTCGATAAGCTTCAGTTAACACAACAATAAAGTTCTCACGTCCATTTGACCGGAATAGCGAATATTTTAACGATTCCACTAATTCTTCAGTTACGCAGACGGTTGTAACACAAAATCACACCAATTTTATTTCACAATATCCACTATGAACGAATTTAAGAATAATTAAAATAAGACGCCAACCGCACTCGATGAAATCCCTCCAAAAACTCCAAAGTACGTTTTTAAATTCTCCGAACATGCTCGCGCATGCTTTTAAAACGTACGATCAGCAAATGTTTCTATACACACATCAACTGTACTTGCGTAAACTGAAACATATAGATAGCAATTTCCTTGAGAGGGCACTCTTTTCCCATAATTTAAATACTACTCTTTGTAGATAGTCATACTACGAAAAATGCGAGTAACGAAATTTATTTGTGTGTAACGTTTCGTTACTCGGTACTAGATGGCACACCCGTTACTCAGTACCGAATACATACGGTTTGTTACAGCTCTATCTAACACCCTAGATTGCCCCTGCAGCCGTGTCCGTGATGCTAGCGTACCCACGATCAATATACGGTTTTTCGTTATGCCATTAAAAAGTGCGTAAATAGTGCAAAATTAGTGTAAAAATAATTAAAATAGTGCCTCTTTAATTTAAGAAATAAATACCATTTTTACTGTGTACGCTACCATGACGTCAAGCTAGCGTACCCATGGCTGACCCCAAGAATGGCATATATTTAAGCAACGAAATTGACACACAAAAATAGTTCGCAAATAGTGCCCTGGCTTTACAAAATTTCATAATCAATACTCTTAAAGGACCAAAGATATTGAACTAAACATTCTTAGCTGGCGTCAACCTGGCGTACCCATAATAGTTCTCATAGAAAATGAACTTTTCTCGTTATCAATTCTTTATGTATAAATAGTGTGTCAAATAGTGCCTCTAACAGTAAAAGTATTTTATGTGAATCCGCATCACAACAATACATAAAGAGGGTGTTAAATTCTAGGAACAATTGTATTGTAGTATAGTTACACACAAAATTAATTTATGCACTAAGAGATTATCTATATATGTCTTTTTACTAAAATAAATAGGTACTTTTTATAAAAAGATATTATATTTCAATTCGAATTCACCAATCATAAATTCATATAAGAATTTCAACCTACCTACCTACTAAGTACCTTACTTACCTACTATATACGAAAATATTATCACTTCTGTACATGACTGTACTTCATATATTAAAATAATTTAATTGCTTTTTTACTGCGAAATAACATAAAATACTTTTACTGTTAGAGGCACTATTTGACACACTATTTATACATATAGAATTGATAACGAGAAAAGTTCATTTTCTATGAGAACTATTATGGGTACGCCAGGTTGACGCCAGCTAAGAATGCTTAGTTCAATATCTTTGGTCCTTTAAGAGTATTGATTATGAAATTTTGTAAAGCCAGGGCACTATTTGCGGACTATTTTTGTGTGTCAATTTCGTTGCTTAAATATATGCCATTCTTGGGGTCAGCCATGGGTGACTGACGTCATGGTAGCGTACACAGTAAAAATGGTATTTATTTCTTAAATTAAAGAGGCACTATTTTAATTATTTTTACACTAATTTGGCACTATTTACGCAGTATTTAATGGCATAACGAAAAACCGTATATTGATCGTGGGTACGCTAGCATCACGGACACCCTGCAGCCGGGATGTGAGTAGCCTGCTTTAGTGGTCTGTGGCTCGCATACAACCATGGAATTAATAAGTACTACGTACAACGTAGTACTTATTAATTCCATGCATACAACTACTTGTTCTTTATTAGTCTGTGCAAGTGTGCATACAAAACATGAAACTATGATGCTAGACTAGACAGAATGTGTTTTGAACTTTGAAGTTTCCTCATTAATTTTCTGGTGATTTTAATTTAAATATATCTTTGATACATCATATTTCGTCCAAACTGACTTTGGTAACGACATTAAAGATTGTAGGATCCGAGGTTGCCCGTTCTTCCATGCCTTGCTTATTTTATTGTGTCGGATGTTTATAATATATAAGTCATTGAGTTGCCGCGATTCTTCGATTATTTGATCACTATATTTCATCATATTTGGCACAAGCCTAAATTATTCTAAGGTAATACAAAAGTTTTTATGTTGTAGATTGTTGAACTGAAAAGGTTTTAATACCTACATCTAATGAGTTTCTATGGAAAAATGTTGATTCAGATAGTCGTTTGTTTTGTTTTCACTTATTCTTCCCAGTTTATCTCACTATGGTCACCTGGTTGAGAAAATTCCTCATATTCGTTTCCTTGAAATTACCAGATTACCAAAATCAATATGTGACGTTCCAGGGGTAAAGGTATCTTATGGTTGGTATTAAGTTATACGTCCCGAGATGTTCAAGTTGACTTATCAAGTCGACATGATTGAAGTGAATATTGATTGTTTACCGCATTCACTTCATATCAAGATGACACGGTAAACCATCAATATTCGCTTCAATCAAGTAGACTGGGTAAGTGGACTTGATCGCATACTACTATAATCTGCAAATACATAAAAACTATTCATATCACCAAAAACTATCCTCGTAAAATGTGTAATTTCGAAGATATAAATCTCTGAAAATGATTAACGAAATTGCACTTTCAGAAAAATATAATTTTTGGATAAAGGACATTAAAAACTGTCTTGTGTGTGTTCTCGTTGGAAGTTAAATAGCAAGCACCAATTGATTATTCTTTAGGAATCTGTTTAAATATATTTTTTTAATCAAAATGTTAATAATTTGGTCATTAATTATGCATAAGTACTCAATGTTTTCTGGAAAAGGTTATTTTTAAATTTTAATGATATTTCTATATCAGAGATGTTAGCCCCCATTTTTTGAATTTTATTATTATCCAGGTTGTTCTGTTTTGTTCTGTGTGTTCTACATTGTTCCATAGTGTTTATTGAAAAACATAAATTTGAAACTACCAGGCAAAAAAAAAAGTTTTACTCTATTTTTGCTCATTCTATATTTTATTTAAATATAAATTTTGTACATGCAAATGTACATAGACAGTGATTACAAAATAAGACACTAGTACAAGGGCAAAGCTTATTTCAATCTGAAATTCCTTCCAGCAGGCCATTATTTTGTTGGTTGTTAAAAGTTGTACCTGTTGTTCCTATCATTTTTCCAGTTTTAATTGAAAAAACAAAAGTTTTGAGCTCCTATACATAAAAAACATTTTATTTTATTTTATTATTATTTAGGTTGTTCTGTATTTGTTCTGTGTTTGTTCTACATTGTTACAGAGTTTTATTAAATAATTAAAATTTTAAGCTGTCAGGCAACTGAAAAAAACTTTTTAAAGCCCCCATTTTTTAAATCTTGTTATTATTCATATTGTTCTGTATTTTTCTATGTTTGTTCTACATTGTTCCAGAGTTTTAATATAAGTCTATCAGACAAATTACAAAAACTTTTTTTTAAATATTTGTTGGTTGTTTCAAGTTGTTGTAAGGTATGGTAGGAAGAAGGAAAAAACTATGACGCGTTTCCAAAAAAAAGTCAAACACAAGTCTAACACAAGATTTAAGAACAAGCTTGCTGTTCCATGTTTCAGACTCCAAAAATCAAAAGGTTCGTTTCTGGGTTGTAGTATTGCATTGTTTAATAAAGTGTCCCAAGATTTGATTGAGCTTCCACTGACCAAATTTAAACCTCGGATCAAGAATGGTCTTATGAAGAAAGGCTATTATAAAATTAAACTTAGTTTTTTGCATAAATCAATTATTTATACCCTAATAAAGGCAAGAGTTCAATTCCCTGATCACTATTTTCAGTAAAAAAAAGATATGAAGTAGAAAAGTTTTTGAAATTTGCGCATGAAAAAATTAACAATTTAATTTCCTCAAAAGTCAGTTCCACATCTGTGCATGAGATATTTGCCACTTGACAAGGAATTATTGAAGGCATCATTTTGCAATTTTATTTTATTTATAAGTGTCCTAGTTTCCGAGAAATATATTTATTTTTAATTTCGATTTTTATTTTTTTCTCCAAAATCGGTAAAAGGAACCTGGATTTATTAGTACAGAAAGGTTCTATAAGCCAAGTTCTATCACCCATAAAAAATCAAGTTTCACTTTTGCGGTTTAAAGAAATTATGACAGAATTTAGATAGTCAACTTTCGTGATCTAGGGTTGTCACAAAGGTCAAGTACTTATGAGTTAAATGAAAACATTAATTTTT